AGAAAAATCAATGAGGGCCATCCACAAATAGATGATTAATTGAGTACAAGTATTTTTATTCTTCAATAACACTTAAATTAATGATAATTGAATTGCTATTATTGTGTCCAAGAATCCTGGGACTAGAATGCACCTCTTTATTAAAGCTACATTCAAGAGTATTTTCAATGGGTTGAGTACCCATTTTTACTCAAATCATTTCTCATACTCAAAAAGAATATTTCTTTAATCCCACTCAAAATCAATTATAAGTTAATTTATGAAATATTATAGAGTTGAATCAAGTGGATTAAGAGCGTTTGAAAGAAAGTAGAAAATAAACGAGAACATGAAGAAATTTCAGAAAATAAAGAATTATTTTGATAGACTGTTATAGTGTATCTATACAATTGAATCTATTCTCATTGAACAAACTTTTGGGAATGAGTTCTACCAAAGTCCACGTTTGTTTGCGGCTATGAATAAGTCTGTGGTTAGACTCTCTCTTTAAAAAAAAAAAAAAAAAAAAAAAAAAAAAAAAAAAAAAAAAAAAACCTTTCAATAATTTAAAATAAGAGTAAACGATTTTTCCCACAAGGTTTGCCTTAAAACACTTTTCCACAAAAAAGTTATAAAATACACTTTCTCACACACAGTTAATATTATGTACTACCAAAGCCGATTTGAGGGGCAAAAATTCTCTCAATCACCATCATTTGAACCTTTGGTCTCCTTCTGCAAAAAGTCTCCACTCCAACGCCTGATTTTTGTCGGTTACCAGCCACCGCAAAGTTAAAGTTTTATATTCTTAGTTGATTTCAGCGGTAAATATTAATCGATCATCATCATCAATCATCGGTCTCCACTCTACAAAACCCTTCTATCTTAACTTCTGTAACTTGTTAAACGCCCGACGACTAGAAAGTGAAAATTATTTTGGATATTAACGGAATATAAACTTTGAGTAAAATTGTATTTTGAAACTTTTTAGTGAAAAAGTCGTTTATCTTTAAAATATACTTATAATGCATATAAAAGAAACAAAAAAAGGAAATCCAAAGGGTAATATCAAATACTTTTCAAATTTGCTTTCTAGTATATGGGCCATGCCTATCACATTCTCTCTACAAAAAGGATAGTTTGTGTGTGATTATCATCATATCATACAACATGCTTTCCTCGTGGATCCAGCAGTTAGCAAATTACTGTTCATCCGGTTAAAGGCTCATCATTTCGTTCTCTCCCAATCACAAGTACCAAGATGTTCTTACTTTACCTCGACCCTGCTACACCACAAGTTATTATAGCATCATTTGTACCGTATTTTAACCCACTTCCCTTGTTCTTAGGGTTATTCAAAAGAACCGATTAGAACTGGAGTTGATAGGTACCAGAGATTTCGTTTCGGTTTTAACCCAAAATCAGTTATCAACGGATAGATTCCAATTCCAAATTTTGGAATCATTACTGTGCGCTTCCGGTTCTGATTTTTAGTTTAGAACCAAAACTGGAATCAAGAACTGAGACTGATAAAATAAAATTAAAGAGTAGGGAATTAATAAAATTTTTGTAGAAAAAATAACGTGAATACATTATATTATATTTCATAAAATTTAAAAATTGGTTTGATTTTTGAGAATCTATCTTTAAAAATAATGGAGTTTGTAATTTTGAATTTATAATTTGTAATTTTATTTTTGTTAACAAGTTCCAGATGAAAGGTATTTGTAAGTTTTTAAGGGTTTTTTTGCTATTTAAAAATTTTTAGAGGTCATTGATTTACATGGTAGTCAGAATGGACACGTCGATTCCGATTCTAATTTCAAATTCTAAGAAACTGTCGATTCTGATTTCGGTTTTGATTCCTTTAAAAACTCAGGATACTCATAATCGACACCCTTTCTTGTTACACTCTACGACAAAAAGTTAAAGATTGAAAAATTACGTAATCCAGTGTACATAGGAGCACGTCGTTGTTGGTGCAACCGTTCGATCACATGCATGAACGCAAATATTAAATGCACCGGGGCAGGTACGGTGGTTGAGTCATCCATCAACGATGATGCAGCCTCATTGATTGTACTTGCGCCCCGCGAGGATGGCGCAAAAGACGAAAATGGCCCCCACGGTTTTTGTCACGTCGCGAACCAAATTTTATGTGTGCAAAGGGAGGCAGGGAAAGCCACCCATCACATGGGAAAGTATCTTTGCATCCCTACCGTCTATTAATCGCCTTATGTTTGGATCTGAAATCCTGCGCGTGTCCTGAAGCTCCTTGCTTATTAATTTAATTACCTCTTTTTGACGGGGTTTTTCATACTTAAATCTATCAACTAATTTAGGTTGCGTTTTAGTAAGTTTTTAGGATAATATGGCTGCGTTTAGTCGGATATTTTTATTCCATTTTCAACCCGATTTTAGAGATAACGTTTAATTGAATATTTATGTAATAGAATCTTGAAAATATTATTCCGACACTTCCTGACCATTTTCAGGTCTAAAGTTATTTGTGAGTTGACTTTTCTTCTTTGACTTTTTCTACTTTCTTCTTTCACTTATTCTTCATGTCACCTGATCACTTATATTATATTAATAAATTATTTATAAAAAAATATATTAATCAAATATTCAACACAAATATCAAGATTAAAATACTCTACCAAACACATATTCTACAAATCATATTCTCGTAATTATAACCTTATCCAACTATCAAATACTATCCCTAAAATCCTATCCAAAATAATGAACCAAACGCACTCATTATATTCTGAATATTATTTAACGAAACAGGATAGGATCATTTTTTTTTAAATATTTTCTGAAAATAGATTATTTTTTAACCTTTTACATTTGTTAATTTAATTAAACACCTCTTATAATAAAAAATTATAAATTAACGAAAACACTCCCATTCACCTAACAATTGCTGACAGTTGAGAATAGTTAAGGGTGTGTTTGGTTCAGTATTTTGGATATGATTTTGGGGATAGGATTAGATAGTTGGATAGGGTTATGATTACGAGAATATGATTTACAGAATATGTGTTTGGTTGAGTATTTTGACCTTGATATTTGTGTTGAATATTTGATTAATATTTTTTTTATAAATGATTTATTAATATAATATTTTGTTGAATTTTGTTAAGATAATGTATTATTTTATATATAACTTATCAAGTTACATTTTAATAATACTAAATATTTTATTGATAATTTTGTCACCCGTAGATATTAAGAAACAAAAATTCATATTAATTTCAAGTATTAATCCAACTGTTTAAAAACATCATATTAATACATATATGACAAAAGTACTAATTATCCACACTTACAATCATTCTTACACATATACTGCAACGTATACTGCAAAAAAAAAAAAAAAAAAAACAGTTGAAGCAGTGTGAAAGAAGAAAAAAGAACGCGTGAAAAAGGAAGGCTGCAAAAAAAATTCAAACGTGTCATAAGCTGTCAAAAAAGAACGCCTGAAAAAGGGGAAGGCTACAAAAAAAAAATTCAAACGGTCAAGCTGTCAGAAAAGTGTTGGAATAGAGTTTTGAAAATCCTATTGTCTAAATATTGAACCAAACACTATTTTCAAAATCTGACTCAAAATATTCATCCAAACGCAACCTAAGTGGTGTGGATGCTTTTGTTAATTTATAAATTTTTATTGAAAAAAGTAATAGTTAAATGTTTTGAATTGAATAGAATAAGATTGAATTTTGAGTTAAATATAAAATTAATTATTTCACTAGATTGAAGAAGATAGTTTTAAAATTTTAAAAAAATTTGTTAGGCTTTAAATTTTTACTTAAATTAAAACACAAATTAATATAATAATATAAGAGTTGCTGATGTAACAAATAAAATAATTACCTCTAAATTCTTTATCACATCCATTAAATTATAAATATCATTCACTAAAAATTTATGTCTTAATTTAATTAATCTGAGTTGTTAATAGGAGTGATTATTGAGGGGGTTTATCAAACGGTTAACTATAAGACCCCCAAGATTAATTGAAGTATGTAAAAACTGGTTTAGATGCTCTAATTATAACAAAAAGAAAAAAAAATTTAAGTAAAAAATTTAAATTAAAAAATATTTATCTTTGAAAATTTTACATATTATAATAACAATCACAAGTCTCGAGATTTATATGATTATTATAAATTGAAATCATGATGTGATATGAATATATTTTTAAATTGTTTTATTATAATAAATAATAACAAAATGTTATAACATATGTGACACATTTGAACATGTTATTGTAAATAAAAACGGAGGCAATATATTTATAAAGAAATAAATAATTAATTAAATATTTTTTAACCAGAGAATTTCAGACAAAACAACAAAAATAAAGAATTTAGCAATATGTGGGACCTCTATAAAACAAATTTATTATTTTTAATTTAAATAAGCCGACATGTCGTCCCTCTCATCCAATGTAGACAATACTTCTTTTTCCCACGACGCTCCCCCCGCCTCCACGAAGCCACAGATTTTTTTTCCCATCTAAATTTCTGTCTCGTCTTTTGCAAAAATATTCCCAAATTATCGGCCCTGATATCTAGGGCATTCCCGTAAATTACTATTACAATCAAAGCAATTCAGTCTGACATGTCAGCCAGTTGAAGCGAGTACATCAATTTAAGTACTCGAGAGAGTACAGCTATTAAAACAAATTAGAAATTAAATTTAGATTTGTCGTAGTTAATCAGTTAACACCCACTATTATTCCCGCTCATTTTTTAGCAACTCTATTTTTCAAAATTTCTTAACTTCGCGGGCCCATCTCCACCGTCCACGTCAGCATTACCGCCACGTCCCGAGAACAGTAACTTTACTATTCAAATATTCAATTTAACCTCCAATAAAAATGAATTAAACATTCAAACTTTTAAAAAACAGTTTATTTAAAAAAAAATTAATTTCATCGGTCTCACTCTCTCACCAGTTATTATAGAGAAGAGAAATCTTCTGCAAGTCTTCGCTACTGCAACTCTCATTCTCTCTCTCTCTCTCTCTGCAACTCTCTCTTTGCCTTAAAGATGAAGAAACAATCTATATCTCCATAGCACAAAGTCTATAACGCAAATAAAAAGCGAATAAATTAAATAAATAAATAAAATAGAAACGAAAAACAAATGTTCTTCGCTTTTCTGTATCATGCCATGTGAGTTCACTGACACATTCTCTTCTTCTTCTCCTCCTCCTCCTTCTTTTCTTCTCTTCAATCGTTCTCTCATTTGCCGACGCGCTGAGTCGACTCAAGTCAATGGCGTCTTCCTCACGAGCTCGTAGCAGTTCACCTTTCTCGCACCGTAAGCCTTCGAGTCCGTATTCCTCAACCTCATCCTCCTCTTCGTTCATGAACAACCGTCTCATGCCTCGCTCGTGCTCGTCCTCTGCTTCTTCTTACTTCAATTCGGGGAACGGATTCAGTTCCCGATCCATGACGCCGAATCGTTCACGTTCCGAGTCAATGTACCCCGCTCCGCGCGGTTACAGTGCACGCGCAGCACCACCGGTGAGCTTCCCCTCAGAGGAATTGATCACCGAACCGTTCGATGCGCCGCAAAGGTCCGGCGATAGCATTTCCGTCACGATTCGGTTTCGGCCGTTGAGGTAAAATGGTAGATCTGAGTTTTAATTGTTAGATCTGTCAAACAATACCAAAACCGTTCATTTTAGTTTCATTATTTTCGATAATGTGATTGTTTGATCAATTTATTTTTATCTATTTGTTGCTTCAAAAATTAGAGAGAGGGAGTTTCAAAGAGGAGATGAGATCTCATGGTACGCGGATGGGGATAAAATTGTGAGAAATGAGTATAATCCAGCAACTGCTTATGCATTTGGTATTGTTTTTAATTAATTAATCTTAATTCTTGTTTTCCAAATCTTATGATAATGAGAGTAAATTTAAATTAGTATGTTTATTGATAATTGTGTAGATAGAGTTTTTGGACCGCATGCGAATTCACAGGAGGTATATGATGTAGCTGCAAAGCCTGTAGTCAAGGCTGCAATGGAAGGTGTTAATGGTATGGATTAATTGATTGATTTGATATTGATTTTTTTTTCATAAATGAAGTAAAGTTTAGGTGCGTGGATTTTAATTAATGAGGATTGAAACATTTTAGGGACTGTTTTCGCATATGGTGTTACAAGTAGTGGGAAGACGCACACTATGCATGTAAGTCTTGTGCAATTTCCTATAAGTTGTTCTATTTACACTAGTATTGTTGTTGAGGGATCAACTGACAGACATGGAACTCTTTTTTGGGTTATTGTTCTAATGCAAAATATTTTGGGCATGTTATATTTGTTTCAAGGCTTTGTTTGGTGTAACTTCAATTAGCGCTTTTATTACTAGAGTTTTTAACGGAATGCTGTTGGTTATTTAGTTGATATCACAACCTTTTGCAAATCCAAAATTTATGTTAACCGTTAGTTTTGTTAAGTAAACAAGGTTATGTTATAGAAGAAAAAATAATAGAAGTTTCAAAATAATATGGGAATATTACATTATTTTAAATTAACATATTAGAAAACCTGAAAAAGAGTTTATTAGAGAAGCTTTTCTTAACATTTGAGTTTGTATTAGTAGATGTAAAACAAATTTTTTAGTCATTATTTTGGTCATTCCAGAACACCATACCATATGGCTGCTGATTTTTTGTTGGCAAAGTAGTTAATAGAAGACATTTGAGAGGTAAAAATGGACATGGCTTTAAGTCAGATATGATTAACGAGAACTAGATTATTGAATTGATTTGCAGAATCATTGCATTAATAAAATCAATACTAACTTGGCTTTCACACCATTTGTTATGCACATATTATATACAACTCGCCCAGAAAAACTATCTAGTAATGGAAGGGTTTTCAAGTGCTTATAAGCCCTAGTTCAAAGACTCAATTAGATTATTACGTTACTATAAAACCAACATATATATCTGTTTATATACATAATGATTTGACATGTGAGGATTTAAGGACAGTTGGAATCCCATTGCCGAGGTTATTATATGAGAAACAGGATGCTTTTACGATAAACTTTTATTTGTTTTCTCCCTAGAAAGTTCTTTGCATATCTGTGTATTTCATTTCTAATTGGTTGGTCTGGTATAGTTACTAAATATAAGTTTCATACTATGGATCTAGGTAGGCATCATAATATTACTTAGAATATGCTTATATATCAATTGTCTAATCTTTGACTTGTTTCTTATGTTTTGTGCTCAGGGAGATCACACTTCTCCTGGAATTATACCATTGGCCATAAAGGATGTGTTCAGCATCATCCAAGATGTAAGTGTTTTCTCACGTTACATCTCCACACCCTTACCCCAGCTCTATTTCCAAATTTTCTTATTGTCACACCTTCACTGGGTACTATCCTGATGCTTCATTCATATTGCTCTTTCCTCTAGTTTGATATTCAATGGTCTATTAGAATCTCATAGGTTAATTGCATGATACAATTTAGTTATTTGAAAAAACAGAGTGTTATTGGTTGTTATTTTAACGAAAAATGATTTTGCTTGGCTGGTATATCGTAGCATACTTCTAGTATTTTATCTTTCGTAGTTATCTTTTGTAATGAAGTTTGGTTCACTAACATAATTTTTCCATCAGACTCCAGGAAGTGAGTTCTTACTCCGTGTGTCATATCTTGAAATCTACAATGAGGTCAGTGGGACTTGTGATCTGGAATTAGCTTTTCTTCAAGTATCACTATGAACACGACTTGTTTTTTGACGAATTCTAGGAAATTTTATTTGCTCCTTGATTTTGAAACCTATATGGTCAACTCCTACCCTCTATACATGTTTTGTTATGTCATTCTGTATGCAAAATTTTCTAAATTTCGTTTTTAGTAGTTTTGTCCGAACTAGTTACTGTTATTTAAGTGCACATCATATAATATATGGTGGTAATTTTGTTTCTTATATCAGGTGATAAATGACTTACTTGATCCAACGGGTCAAAATTTGCGCGTCAGAGAAGATGCTCAGGTTTTTTGCTTTTTGATATTTAACTTATAATCTTTTATTGTCTTTGCAATATTTGTTCTCATTGTTAGCTTGAACATTAAAAAGATTTCCTGTATGTAATCCTTCCATAATCTCCTCCCTACCACTATAAGTAGCCAACCACCTTAATCTTGAAAATTAAATGACATTTTTTGGTAACCAAAAGTATATGACATTGCATTCTATATATGTTGATTTTGCTTAACAGGGCACCTATGTTGAGGGGATAAAAGAAGAAGTGGTCTTGTCTCCTGGGCATGCACTTTCTTTCATTGCAGCTGGAGAAGGTATGTACTAGGTTTACTTATGCAGTGTTTTTCGTTTCTCCTCTTTATCATGTTGACAGTGAATTTTTTTACTCCTAATATTTTTAATTGTCTTGCTGACAGAACATCGTCATGTTGGCTCAAATAATTTTAATTTGTTCAGTAGCCGCAGTCACACCATATTTACACTGGTAATCATTCTTCAAGAAGCCAATCTGTGAAACTTTATACTCCTTTTTTACTCATTTTCTTATTTGTGGACCAATTTGTTTCCATTCTCTCAAAACATTTATGCTCATACAAATTTGTCCCATTAATTAGCTTTCCGATTTGCTTTTCTTTTGATTATGTGTCAATTTCCAAGTTTTGCTTTTGTGAATGCACACTATTTGAAATTGCAAAAGACTGCAATGTTATAGTTTCTCGAAACTGAAGAACTCAAAAAGATAAAGTAGCTAGTATAACTTATTTGTGAGACAATGACTCATTCTGCTGAAACATGGGAAACTGAGATGTGTCAAAATTCAATTTTTGGTTTCCATGGGTCTGTTTGAACTGGAAGCTATATAACTAACTGTATTGATTAGAAGATCCTATTAACTTTGCCTTCAGACATCTCAAATTTGCTGTTGCACTTGCAGATGATTGAAAGTAGTGCCCACGGTGATGAATATGATGGAGTGATATTCTCTCAACTGGTATGGGGAATTCCTTTTTTGTCAAAATAGAATATTTTTTTAAATAATATGGTTCTTATTACAATTTTTTTTTTTTTGTTTGTTTGTTAGAATTTGATCGATCTTGCTGGATCCGAAAGTTCAAAAACTGAAACAACTGGAATAAGGAGAAAAGAAGGATCTTACATAAACAAAAGCCTTCTAACTTTGGGAACTGTAGGTTATTTATTTTATGTTTTGATGAAGTTTCTCATAATTTATTAATTATGTGCGATCACAAACTGCCTTCTCTCTTGAAGAAAAGTTGAAGAAATAATGTCTTGATTGTCATCCCTCTAACCACTCAAGTAACCTGTAGTTAATAGTTAATGATTGATTTCAGCCATCTACTTGAGATAGTTGGCAGGGAAACAGGTTGAGAATCAACTTAGTTCTTATCTTCCAGTAATTGATAATTCTGGGAATGGATGCTGAGACTTGCTATGCAATCATTCACATATTTCACAGAGATTGTTAACTATCTGTTTAAATGTAAGCGTTTTTTGTGTTTTTAATTTGATTGTGTTTGCAATGTGAAGGTAATAGGAAAGTTGAGTGAGGGGAAGGCATCTCATGTTCCCTATAGGGATTCCAAGCTAACTCGTCTTCTCCAGTCTTCTCTGAGTGGACATGGACATGTTTCGGTGAGTTTGAAATCTAACAAATTCTCTTTTGACTTTCGAGTAAATATTTTTTTTTCTAGGACAACCTTTTTATGTAATGTCCATATGCTACTGTTTTTCCTTTATTACAATGTGAGGAAACTGATCTACATTTTTATCATTGTACAGCTTATATGTACGGTTACTCCTGCATCAAGTAGTATGGAAGAAACTCATAATACACTGAAGTTTGCAAGCAGGGCAAAGCGAGTGGAAATCTATGCATCACGTAATAAGGTGTATTATTAATTCACTGTATCCTTTATCACCTCAAGCTACTACTCCCACCCACGGCATGAAGAACTTTTGCTGGTCTGATCCCATGGCCTGTCTTTGATGTGTTCCAACCTTTCCGTGGTCTCTGCTTTCAAATATCTAAAACTAAGATCAATTAAACTGAGAGAAAGAAATAGTTATTTGAAGGAGACCATGATCTGGGTGTGAATGGGATGAGGATGATAGCTGCAGAGAATGAAAAACAACCTTAACATTGATTTGCTATTTCCATATAAAACTCCTTATGATTAATAAAAGGGTAATTTTGTTTTATGATACTTTTGGTCACCACCATGAACCTGACCAAAGTTGTGTTCATGACCATGTGGGCCCATCATCAGTCCCCTTCTTTTTGTTGAACAAAAAAGATGCTCCTTTAGATTTGGTTTGGATCAAAATAATTGTCATCTTTAGCACACTTCGCCTTACACTCTTTTTGACATTTGCTTTCAGATTATTGATGAGAAATCATTGATAAAGAAGTATCAGAGAGAAATTTCAACCCTCAAGCAAGAACTTGATCAACTGAGGCAGGGAATGCTTGCTGGTATTAGTCATGAAGAGATTCTGACCTTAAGACAAAAGGTTTTTGCTTCTGTTTTTTCATTTTAAATGGATTTTTGTTGTGTATTGCATTGGTATGAATACTTATAGTAACAATTGTTGTTATCATTCATCTAATAGTTGGAAGAAGGTCAAGTGAAAATGCAGTCAAGATTGGAGGAGGAAGAGGAAGCCAAAGCTGCTCTTATGAGCAGAATCCAAAGGCTAACTAAGCTTATACTTGTTTCTACAAAGAATACAATCCCTGGATTAAGTGATGTGCCGAGTCATCAACGGAGTCATTCTGTTGGTGAGGATGAAGTAAGTTCTTCATTCTAATAATGTCAATAAAATCACAGTTATGCTCTCCAAATTTGAGAAACAGGTTGACTTTCTTAATTTAACTAAAATTCGAATAAGAATATAAAAAATTATGTGAAGATTTGTTTAAACTGAAAATTGAATGTCTGTTGCTTTGTGAAACTTATGGCTATAATGACACTTGGGATTGTTTGCTTAGTCAAGCTGGATAAGAATATCCTTTGATCTGTGACTCATCATTCTCTTTTTAGTGATATAATTATCTTTTTCTGCCCTTGCTTGAATGAAACTATTGCCTTTTTCTTTTCTACTGATCTTGGTTTTTGACTGTGGAAACTTTTTTAAAAATAAGTATCTGTCCTGCCTTCCCTTTGTCTATAGTTGGATTTGTTGCGAGAGGAGAAGGACTCAACAACTACTTCAGCACTTCCATTAGACATGTCTCATGATTTTAAACATCGAAGATCATCAAGCAAGCGGAATGAAGAATTCTCACCAGCAAGCAGTACAGTTACTGAATCAACTCAAGCGGGTGAACTTATCAGTGGCTCAAAGCTTCCAGCAGTATGTCTTGCAATTGCTCTTTTTAATTTCTTTATCACACTTTATCTAGGGTATAAGTCAACACATGTTATTCTATATTGTCAAAAAGTGTTTGTAATGCAATGCAAGCAGGGCCATCCAAGCTCTGTTTGCTCAGGTCATTTTGCCTTCAACACCCCTCAGTAAATTGTTTTCATTCAATTCGACAACTCATGTTGGACTATCTGTTGCTAGCAACAAAGATTTTCCTTTATGATATTTCATTTTCTTAATCTCATACACATTGCTTTAATAGTTGAGAATTGCCTCTTTTGAAGGGCCATAGCTTTTGTAAATATCATTCTCTTAACATGATAACTGTAAATTGATTTGTTGATGTCTCTTGTTTAGGGTGGGATGACATCGGACCAGATGGACCTACTTGTTGAGCAAGTAAAGATGCTTGCTGGGGAGATTGCATTCAGCACCAGTAACCTGAAACGCCTGATGGATCAGGCTGCAAATGATCCTGAGAACTCAAAAGTTCAAGTATGTTCTCTTTTCTTAATCCATATGACATGTATCTTTGGTTTTTGTGTGCTCATGCATGTTTTTGAAACTGCTGTCACCAGCATGATGTAGAGAAAAAGGTGAACTTATTTATGGTTATTATGGAGTTATCTCCTCTTTCTTATAAGAAATAGTACTATGTTGATGCTTTGACTGTTAGCTGGTTTATGTTTCATTTAACTTTTTTTGTGAGAGTTGATGTATTTCACGTCAGCCTAATTTGGTACATATGCTCACTGCTTCTGCTGCTTGTACTATTTTTTCTGAAAAGCACCTGATTTTCTTCCAAAACACCTTGAGTTCAAGGATTTTTATTTGTATTTCAAGTAGATTGCCAGCGGATCAATATGGAAATGGGATTGCAATGCATTCCACTTCGATAACACTTCGTATTTCAGGCTGCAACGTCTAATTTATTTTGCAGAATGTTAACAGTTATAGAAGCATGAATATTTTTAGCACAGCCCTGAACAGTCTTTTGCATGATTTCACGTACAGATCCAGAACTTGGAACGAGAGATCCAAGAAAAGAGAAGGCAAATGCAGGCTTTAGAACAACGCATAATTGAGAGTGGAGAGGCTTCAATGGCTAACGCATCAATGGTCGATATGCAGCAGGTATTTTACATTCATTTTATCATGGTCACTATTATTATTTTTTTCCTTTTTGTTTTGTTTTATTATTATCCCTGTTTTAGTTGTATGATCATTTGCTAGTAGCATAATCATTCCTTCATCTTTTTCTGTTGCAACAGACAGTTATGAGGTTGATGACCCAATGTAATGAAAAAGGTTTTGAGCTGGAGGTGAGTTCTCTTTTTTTGATGTGATGAAGTGTTCTGAGGGTATTGAGTTCAAATTGTTTCTTCCTGAAGCTAGGTCTAACTTTGCTATATCATAGTAATTCTGTGGGCATTCTCTTTTTTAGATGATGACAGATGTGGTATATCATATCCATTAATATAAAATTTCACGTTTGCCATTTGATTAAATTGATTTTGGTGAATTGTTGCAGATAAAATCAGCAGATAACCGTATTCTTCAGGAACAACTTCAGAATAAGGTTAAATTCACTTTTAAATTTCTTCTATATTTTGTGTTTGGAATTATTTTCTTTTCATTCCACAGATTTATTGGTCTATATCCTTCTGCTTGGGGCTGATACGATCTGATTTATCAACTCATGAAACTATTTTCATTGTTTATGGTCTAAGCTACTCTTTATTTGTGTCTGGTTACCTGCAGTGTTCTGAAAACAAAGAATTGCAAGAGAAGGTGAATCTACTAGAGCAGCGGTTGGCTTCAGTGACTAGTGATAAATCATCTGGATCTTCTGAACAGGGTGTCTCCGATGAATATGCTGATGAGTTGAGAAGGAAAGTTCAATCACAGGTGATTATTCGTCTTGCAGGAATTTTAGTTCTACATTGACCATAACTGAATGGAGTCAAAATTACTGACTGTTGGTCAGGTTGACTCCCTTTAGGTTGTTTTGAATTTTGGTTCTTTCTTCAATATCCTTTAGTTGTATGATCTGATGCACAAATTAAAATTAATTCCTACTCTTCTGGATCATTTTGATCACTGCCAATCAAAATCAAATAGGATGATGTGGGTCATTGTGCATCCGCATTCTGCAGTTTAAATACCTTTCAAGAGTTTGGTAGAAGTATAGACTGACCATGAATCGTCAGGTTTGGAATATGAATATGGGCTATGTACCTCAACCAGTTGTTGGCTCAAGGCCATTGAAAGTCATTAGAGTATCTTCAGGGTATTGTATATATAATCGGCTTTTGTATTCATACAATGCTTGACGATTTTTCTTTGTCATTATCATCAAAATCTTAACCTCAGCATATAGTTTCTTGGGTAATTGGGCAAAACCCTAAACTCCATTATATAATGATCTATGGAGTGCATTTATGAATTATTTTTAACAACAATTTAGTATTAAAGCATATTTTTTCCCTTTATCAGTGCTTACACTTTTGAACTAATATAGATGTTTATTTTGATTTGAATAGGAGATTGAGAATGAGAAACTAAAGCTTGAACATGTGCAACTTTCTGAGGAGAACAGTGGACTACGTGTGCAGAACCAAAAATTGGCTGAAGAAGCTTCTTATGCAAAGGAACTTGCATCTGCCGCTGCTGTTGAGCTGAAGAATTTGGCTGGTGAAGTGACCAAGATCTCATTACAGAATGCAAAACTAGAAAAAGAATTGCTGGCTGCTCGAGAATTGGCACATTCTAGAGGTGCTGCTGTGCAAACAGTTAATGGTGTCAACCGTAAGTATAGTGAAGGCACAAGACCTGTGAGGAAAGGCCGCCTTTCTGGGAGGTCTAATGACATTTCAGGGACGAGCTTTGATGACTTTGATGCTTGGAATCTTGATCCAGATGATTTAAAGATAGAACTTCAGGCAAGGAAACAAAGGGAAGCAGCACTTGAGGCTGCGTTAGCTGAAAGGGAATTCCTAGAAGACGAATTCAGGAAAAAGGTTGAAGAGGCCCAGAAAAGGGAGGAAGCTCTGGAAAATGATTTAGCAAATATGTGGGTGCTTGTTGCTAAGTTAAAGAAAGAAGGAGGTGCTATCCCAGAGTTAAATAGTGTTGAGAGGCATAGCAGTGGAGAGGATCATGTCAGTGATCCCAAAGCAACTGACATTGATGGTAACACTGTCTCGAAAGAGAGGCAAGTTCTGATTGAGGTGCCAAAACCAGCTGATGAAATTCCCAAGGAAGAACCCCTGGTAGCTCGGCTGAAGGTAACATTTTCTGATGGGGGCCGTCTGCTTGATAAATCATAAGTATTAAAACTAACGCCTTTATCGGAATGCCACTTAACATTGTATCTATTGCTTTCAGGCAAGAATGCAAGAGATGAAGGAAAAAGAGCAACAAAACCTGGGAAATGGAGATGCCAACTCCCACATATGTAAAGTTTGTTTTGAATCACCAACTGCTGCAATTCTTCTTCCTTGCCGGCATTTTTGTTGTAAGTGATTCTAAGCAATTTAGCTTTTACCACATTTCATACTTGTCTTCTTTAAACACCAACATTGCGCTTTTGCAGTGTGTAAATCTTGTTCGCTTGCTTGCTCCGAGTGTCCAATTTGTCGTACAAAAATTTCAGATAGGCTTTTTGCATTTACTTCTTGAAAATGCAGATTTATTCCCTAAAAAATGAAGGTAACACAATTTAGTTTTTTCATTTTCATTCAGAAATTTCAATTAATGACATTAGACTACTACAGTTTCCCCCGTTTGATGTATCGATAGACCCATTTCGTATAAATCGTGTTCTAATATGTTCATCTTTTCCTTCCATTTGCAGAGTTTCTTATCCTCTATCTCTTTGCAATTTACCGTGCAATAGCGGGTGCAATTCTTTCATTACTTTGCTTGTATGTAACTGTCTAAAAGGTATATCAATATTCAATAGTTTGTTTGTGCACCTCTCCCCTGAGGTTGTAAAATAATGGGGAATCAAAGGTTTTTTTTTTTTTTTTTTTTTTTTTTATATATAAAAAAAAGAAAATGTTAAAATGAGTTCATTCTGAAGTTCGAGATACAAGATGTTGCTTTTGTTTTTGAACGTGCAGCATATTTGTGTGGGATCTGTCTTCTAACTGTTGTTATGTATAGTAAAACAGGCAACTGTCTCTCTCCCATCTGTATAAATATTTTTTCAATTTCCTCGTTCATGAGACTTTCATTCACTACTATTCTTGTCAATGTACTACAACAATTTTAAAAGCAATTAACTTCATCATATTTGGTCATGTTCTCTGTTTTAAAACCCGGATTGGATTGGATCGGCTGGTCCGTCCGGGAGTCAGCCTTTACTTCGGTCTGGATTAACATAAAAACCAGGAATGTCATTAAACCTGTTTTGGATCGGCAATGGGCCGTCGAAACAGTACAAAATTGTCGGTTTGACTGGCATGGAGCTTAAAACGATTAGTTATTTTTGGGTATTTGATCCTAAAAAATTCATATTCTTAATTTCTAAACCAATTTGCAGCACTGTTTTATTCTTTATTTCATTTGAATAAAAAAATCAAATTGTATCTTTTATTTTTATCTTCTATTCTTCTTCACTTTAAAATCTACGTGTAAAGAAGAAGAAGTAGTAAGGGGAGAGGAAGGAAGGAAGAAGTGTAAAGAAGAAGAAGTAAGGGGAGAGGAAGGAAGGAAGAAGAAAGAAAAGAGGAGACAAGAGAGAGTAAGGAAGAAGATTAGAAGATAGAAAAAAGGAGATGAAGAGAAAGAGGGAAAAATAATAGTAGAGACTAGAGACTAGAGAGAGGCGAATGTGTTGAAAAAAAGAAGAAAGTGATAGAGAGTGATGGGGAGAGAGAAAAAAAAGGAGAAAGAAGAAAGTGATTGGGTGAGAGAAAAAAAGAGAAAGATGGAAGTGACGGGGAGAGAGGAAAAAATTATTAATAATAAAATTGCAGGATGTATTTATTTTATTTTAAACTTATAAAGGCTTATAAGTAATTTTTAGAGATTCATTTATTGGTTTTCAAACTTATAACAATTAATGAATTGTTTAAAGATGTGACTGCTATATATCGGTTAGATCGATCAGTCTAATTGATTGGATTGGTCAATCCATGTATCGACCCCTTGATCGGGCTAACGAGCAGTCCAGTTTTTAAAACAATGGTCATGTTTATAGTATCATTCACATGCACAAAAGCAAACAAGGCTGTGTTTGTTTAAGTTTTTATAATAGTATTTTATTATGAGTAGGATAAGATTCTAAAAATGTGTTTGATATATTTTCTGAAAATATTTAGATTATTTTTTAATCTCTTATATTTGTTAATTTAACTAAACATCTTCTATAATAAAAGTTTATAAATTAATAAAAATATTTCCACCCATTTAACTATTGTTGGTAATCGGTCACCATCATCGGACAGTGGCTAGAAGTCGTTAGAATGGTGTACGATCGGTTGGATCTCATCGGTCATGTGTCAATTTGATATTTTTTGGTTAAACCTGTGGAAACGGTTAGATTTACTGCCAAATATCTAGTTGTTGATGACAACCATATGGATCTGATCGAAAAGGACCATATGGATCTGATCGAAAAGGACCATATGGATTTGGTTGGAACGGTTAGATTGTCACATAACCTGCTAAATCTAGTTGGTCATGTATTATTTCGGCGACTTCCAGCCATCGTCCAACGATGGCTGATGGTGGTTGGTTGTCGACAATAGTTGAATGGGTGGTGATGTTTTTGTTAATTTATAAACTTTTATTGAAAAATATAATTGTTAAATGTTTTGACTTCAATAAAAATGATTAATCCTTTGAATTGAATAGTCAATATTAAAACAAATATATATTTCACTTGATCCGATAAGATAAGTTAAGGTTTAAAAACTTAAAACAAACACAGATTTGGGATTTTACTTTTTACAATCTTCGAATGCTTCTACACTGTTCATCTTTTAGGTCTAAGCAAGGGCGGATCCAACCTAGTTGTGGCTGACCCTCAATTTTTTTTTTTTAAATACTAATATATATAATTTTTAGATTTTGACCCATTCTAACAAAAATATTAATAAATAAAAATATTAATATATAATTAGTTTTTATTGGTTCATCCTAACATAAATTTCTAGATCTGGGTCTAAGTTTTGATGGATGCGTGATGCGGCCCCAATTATACTTGGCAAAAATCAATAAACTTGATTTGGGTATTACCTAATTCAACATGATGAAAACAAAATGACGACATTTTTGTCGGTGCTTTGTGAAAATTCTACGTACCGGCATTAATTTGCTGTAAATTTTTCAATTTTCGTGGATGACTTATGAAAACTCTATCGTGATTTGGTTCTACATTTTCAAAGTTTTAACCACTTAATATTCCAACTCAAAAGATATGATTTTTTTAGGATTATCGGTTGAAGGTTTAGATTAGCATTTGGAAATTTTAACTTACACTAGGTCTGAGTGTCTAACAGAGAAAAAGGCAAAAAAAAAAAAAAAAAAAAAAAAACCCTGATACACACTCATCTTGAACTAATAGAGGTCCCTAGAAATGAAAACACAATGTACTCTCATCAAATCTCATTGACGGATTGTATTGCAACANAAGATGTTGCTTTTGTTTTTGAACGTGCAGCATATTTGTGTGGGATCTGTCTTCTAACTGTTGTTATGTATAGTAAAACAGGCAACTGTCTCTCTCCCATCTGTATAAATATTCTTTCAGTTTCCTCGTTCATGAGACTTTCATTCACTACTATTCTTGTCAATGTACTATAACAATTTTAAAAGCAATTAACTTCATCATATTTGGTCAGGTTCTCTGTTTTAAAACCCAGATCGGACCGGTTGGTTCGTCTGGGAGCCAGTCTTTACTCTGGTTTGGATTAACATAAAAACCGAGAATGTCATTAAACCCGCTTTGGATCGGCAATGGATTGGTGAAACAGTACAAAATTGCCGGTCCGACTGGTCTGGGGCTTAAATTGATTCACTATTTTTGGGTACTTGATCCTAAAAAAATTAATATTCCTAATTTCTAAACTAATTTGCAGCATCATTTCATTTTTTATTTCATTTGAATAAAAAACCCAAATTGTATCTTCTATTTTTCTTCATTTACTTTAAAATCTATCAGTGTAAAAAAGAAGAAGGGGAGGGAAAGGAAGTAAGGAAGAAGAAAGAGAAGAGGAGACAAGGGAAAGAGTAAGGAAGAAGATTAGAAGAAAGAAAAAAGGAGACGAAGAGAAAGAGAAGGAAGAGGAAAGAGAAGATGAGAGAAAAATTACATGGAGACTAGAGAGACGCGAACGTGTTAAAAGAAAGAAGAAAAAAGTGAGGGGAAGTGACGGAGAGAGAGAGAGAGAGAGAAAAAGGAGAAAGAAGAAAGTGATGGGGAGAGAGAAAAAAAAGAGAAAGATGGCGGTGATGGAGAGAGAAAAAAATAATTAATAATAAAATCTTGTAAGGTGTATTTGTTTTATTTTAAACTTATAAGCGCTTATAGATAAATTTTAGGGGTGTAACTTATAACAATTAATAGAATTATTTAAAGATGTGACTGTTATATACTGGTTAGACTGATCGATTCAATCGGTTAGACTGGTCAACCCATGAATCGACCCTTTGATCGAGTCAACGAGCAGTCCGATTTTTAAAACGATGGTCATATTTATAGTATCATTCACATGCACAAAAGCAAACAAGACTATGGTTGTTCAAGTTTTTAGAATAGTATTTTATTCTAAATATGATATAATCAAATAGGATAATATTATAAAAATATGTTTGATATATTTTTTGAAAATATTTATATTTTTTTTTAATCTCCTATATTTTTTAATTTAACTAAACATCTTTTAAAATAGAAGTTTATAAATTAACAAAAATACTTCCACCTACTTAACTATTGTTGGTAATCAGTCACATCATCGGACAGTGGTTAGAAATTGTTAGAATGGTGTATGATTGGTTGAATCTGGTCGATCATGTGTCAATTTGATATTTTTTGATTAGATCTATGGAAACAGTCAGATTTACTGCCAAAATCTAGTTGTTGATGACAGCCATATGGATCTAGTCGAAAATGACATATGGATTTCAACTTATGAAAATTGAGAAAAAGGCAAAAAAAAAAAAAAAAAAAAAACATCTGATTTCAACTTCTCAGATTCTAAACAAATCAACAAAACATATGGTATGAAATTCTACCTACTGTATCTGGGCTTCTTGAATGGTTGAGTACTGATGTGAGGAACTGTGAAGCCATTATCATACCATTTTCTGCTAAATTTGAAGCTGTTAGCTTCTGTTGACTCCTTGAATAATCCATCTGTGAAGCCATTTTGGGGACAATACAATGGAACTTGAGGGGACTGAACAAAAACTTCAGGCACCCAGATTGCTGAATGATCTTCTTCCCCAAATGACAAAAACTTATCAGAAGTCTGCAGAAAACAAAGAAAATAATATCAGGAAGAGAATTTAGAAAAGGTGTTGAAAAAATTACATACAGATAGAGTGCAGTGCAGACCTTACACATAACATTTGAAGCTGCAGATGAAGAGGGATCAAGAAAATCTTCAACACACCAGCCGGGTAATGTCTCCATTAAAAACTCAGATATGCTACTGGTTGAAACTGAACAATTATCGCTTATTTGATTGTTATCTTCAACCTTGTATGGTGTTGATGGTATCAAATTAGAAACTGAAGCACTACTTTTGTTCATGGTTTTCGATGTTGTTGTTGTTGTTATGGTATCGCAACAATTAGATGATGAGGAGGTTGGATATGAAGAAGAAGAAGCAGTAAGTTTAATACCAGTGAGAAGAAACCTGTTGTGTTTCTTGGTGTGTTCATTGGCTTTATGAATTGATATATCACAGTCTCTGCAAAGAATGGCCCTATTTTCTTGACAAAACAGTAAGGCACGTCTCTCCTGAAGAAGAAGAAGAAGAAGAAGAAGAAGAAGAAGAAGATCAGAAATCCAAAACACAGAGGGGAGTCTTTGAAGATATATATAATATACCTGGCAGATATCACAGAGAGGGGAGTCTTTGAAACTGGGGTTAAAAAGAGAGAAACGCAGATGTTTACTGGCTAGTTTATTTGCATGGTGAACTCTACCATCACAGCCATGACAAAGAGCAGCTTCATCAGCTGAACAAAACACAGAGGCTTCTTCTTTGTCACAAACATCACACCTAATCTTCATTATTATTCTCAATTCTCCTTCCTTTTTTGTTTTTTTTTTTTCTAATATGAACACTAGTAGGGGTAAACTGACAAAGATATTATGGGCGTATGGGCTCAAACTGGGGATAGCAATCCGATAAGCAGATATTATTAACTCTTTCTGACTTACAAAAACCTCTGGAGAGAAGATAAGTAGAGACAGCGAGAAAGAAGAAAAGCAAGTTGATATTCTTGAAGTAATATTATGGTAAAGAGAATTGAATAGAGATCGAGATCTCAATAACGAGAGAGGGGCCACGGCTATAGCATTTATCCTTCCATTTATTGGCTCAAACCTCTCACTTTTAAGTTATTTAAAAGCATATAATAATAATAATAATAATAATAATAATAATAATAATAATAATAATAATAAGAGTAAATGACATGTTCCCACCCAAAGTTTATTGAAAAGACAGTTCTGACCCTGGTTTCATGAATTCCACATTTCCACCCTTAAATTAACCAAAAATCATTTAATATAACGGTTAAAGGGTATTTATGTCTTTTTACCAAAATTTTCTAACAACTCAATCCATCCTCAACTCCACCTCCACCAACCCACCACCATTCCTTTGCCACCTCAAACATCATCTCCCAACCGTCACAAAACCCCAAACCATCTCCCAACTGCCAGAAAACCCACACCAACTCCTAGCCCTTGCAAAACCCACACCATCTCCCAGCTGTTGCAAAACCTATCTAAGCGACTTGTCATCTTCCACAACCGCATGACTTTCCGACCAGCCTTCGGTGCCAACCTGTTGACAAACCTCGCCACCCACATCATAACCCCATCACAAGGACCATGACCCTAATCATCATTTAATTAAACTAAACCCTAGGGAAAGGGCCTTCAATCAACGATGAAAAGAGGGTGAAGTGGTGAACAAGGTCGAGAAATATGGGGGTTTTGGAGAAGGCTACCTAATGAGTCGAATGGCTGGGTGGGGGATGATTTCTGGTGGAGAGGGCGGCCGAAAAAAAGGCTGGGAAGTTGGGCAAAAAAAGCAAAACCCAAACCGGAATAGGAATGGGGTGGTTTGGAATGGAACAGTACATGGGTAGTTTTGTAATAGCACTTGTTGGAGCTTCACAATCACTAATAGAGTCACTTTAAGGGTTGGAATCTGGAATAAATAGAACCAGGGGTGAAAACTTGTGATTTCACTTATCTTTGGGTGAGAACATGTCGTTTGCTCTAATAATAATAATAATGGTACAGAAATAGAGAGAAAGGGGAAATAGTGCAGCTTTTAGGAGACCAAACCAAGCTGGTTGCAACAATTATCATACATTTTCTTCTTTCATATGGAATCTGCCCTTGATCTGATCTTTAGCATCTTTTCCCTTTTGGGTTAAAATAATATTAAGATATTGACTTAGATTATTATATCCCCGTCCTGTCCATTTCAAAAATCTAGTCTCAAAACTTGTTAAACTTTGACATTTTAACTGTCCCCAAAGGCTACTTACGTTCACATTTAATATCAAACTATTCTAATGCTTTAACAAGATATAAAATCAACCACCACTTGATGGTTGAGTGGTCAATTATGACTCTTATGTGTATTATTCAAAAAGTCATGAGTTCAATCCACTTCGATTGCTAATCGGGTGATCACGAAAACTCACCCAGTCGTTAACTTCTGGATATCAAGAGATTAATTGAGATACGTACAAACTGACCTAAACACTCTCGACCATGCAAAAAAAAAAGAAAAAAAATGATATTACATTGCCTATCTTTACCTTTCTTTTAATGGGCATGTATAACTCTCAAAAGGGTACGTAAAAAAATAGACAAAAACATCAAATTATTTCATCAAGTTCAAGGGCTTTTCTAGCATTGATTTTTGAAAGAAATGACCAGTAAATGATAATACTCTTTACTTTATGTTACATATAAGTAGGTGAAGCTCAATTATAACAGCCTGCTGCAATTTTAGGTTTGTAATGTGAATTGAAATTGGTGTGTTCTTCTATTTGTGGGGACTACATTGAAGTTCATCATGACTGTCATTCAAACCTTTTTAATAAATAATGTCTCTTTCAGTGCCCACACCAGCTGCAAAAATTTGTCTTGACTTCTGTTTATGAAAGATCAATTTTAAGGATACTATCACCACCCAAACTACCCCGTGGAAAATGCTTGCTTAATATTTATTGATCCATATAAATCAATTAATCCAATTAGAGTAAATGATTTTTTCCAATTAGAGTAAATGATTTTTTCAATGACTTTAATTATAGTTCATCCTTTTACAAGACTCATAAGAACCCATTATTTGTATGAACTTTCCATTTTATTNTACAGAAACCTCTGGAGAGAAGATAAGTAGAGACAGCGAGAAAGAAGAAAAGCAAGTTGATATTCTTGAAGCAATATTATGGTAAAGAGAATTGAATAGAGATCGAGATCTCAATAACGAGAGAGGGGCCATGGCTATAGCATTTATCCTCCCATTTATTGGCTCAAACCTCTCACTTTTAAGTTATTTAAAAGCATATAATAATTTATAATAAGAGTAAATGACATGTTCCCACCTAAGGTTTATTGAAAAGACAGTTCTGACCTGGTTTCATAAATTCCATATTTTCACCCTTAAATTAACCAAAAATCATTTAATATAATGGTTAAAGGGTATTTATGTCTTTTTACCAAAATTTTCTAACAACTCAATCCATCCTCAACTCCACCACCACCAACCCACCACCATTCCTTTGCCGCCTCAAACACCATCTCCTAGCCACCGCAAAACCCCAAACTATCTCCCAACTGCCAGAAAACCCACACCATCTCCCAGCTGTCGCAAAACCCATCTAAGCGACTTCTCTTCTTCCACGGTCGTAGGACTTTCCGACCAACCTTCGGTGCCAACCTATCGACAAACCTCGCCACCCACATCATAACCCCAACACAAGCACCATAACCTCAATCATCATTTAACTCAACCAAACCCTAGGGAAAGGGTCTTCAATCAACGGTGAAAAGAAGGTGAACAGGGTTGAGAAGTATGGGGGTTTTGGAGAAGGCGGCCCAGTGAGTCGAATGGTTGGATAGGGGATGATTTCCGGTGGAGAGGACGGTCAAAAAAAGGTTGGGAAGTTGGGCAAAAAAAAAAACAAAACCCAAATGGGAATGGGAGTGGGGTGGTTTGGAATGGGATAGTATAAGGGTAGTTTTATAATAGCACTTGTTGGAGCTCCATAATCATTAATAGAGTATTTTAAGGGTGAAAATCTGGAATAAATGAACGAGGGGTGAAAACTGTGATTTTAGTTATCTTTGGGCGGGAACATGTCGTTTGCTCTAATAATAATAATGGTACAGAAAGAGAGAGAGGGGGGGAATCTGCCTTGATCTGATCTTTAGCATCCTTTCCCTTTTAAAGTTAAAATAATATTAAGATATTGACTTAGATTATTATATCCCCATCCTGTCCATTTCAAAAATCTAGTCTCAAAACTTGTTAAACTTTGAAAATTTAACTGTCCCCAAAGGCTACTTCATTCACATTTAATATCAAACTATTCTAATGCTTTAACAAGATATAACATTAACCACCACTGTTTGGCCGAGTGGTCAATTAGGACTCTTGTATATATTATTCAAAAGGAGTGACCACAGAAGACTTACTCGATCGTTAATTTCAGGATCTCGATAGATTACAACAGCATGCTGTAATTTTAGATTTTTAATGTGAATTGAAATTGGTGTGTTCTTCTATTTGTGGGGGACTACATTGAAGCTCTTTATTCTTACATTGAAGTTCATCATGAACTGTCATTCAAACCTTTTTAATAAATAATGTCTCTTTCAGTGCCCACACCAGCTGCAAAAATTTGCCTTGACTTCTATTTATGAAAGATCAATTTTAAGGATACTATCACCACCCAAACTACCCCGTGGAAAATGCTTGCCTAATACTTATTGATCCATATAAATCAATTAATCCAATTAGAGTAAATGATTTTTTCCAATTAGAGTAAATGATTTTTTCTATGACTTTAATTATAGTTCATCCTTTTACAAGACTCATAAGAACCCATTATTTGTATGAACTTTCCATTTTTTTTTTTTTTTTGGTATCCAAGAGTGCCCGGCCAGTTTGCGAGCACTTTAATTAGTCTCTTAGGGTTCTGAAGTTAACGGCTAGATAAACCTCCATTGACTACCCCTTTATTAGTAGTCGTGAGGATTCAAACTCAGGATTTCTTGAGTAATACACTCAATAGTCCCTCGATGTCCTGAAGTTAATGGCTAAGTAAGCCTCTGATAGCTACCCTTTATTAGTAGTCGTAGAGATTCGAATTCAAGACCAATTGAGTAATATACCTAAAAGTCTCAAGCAAACCGTCAAGAACTTTCCATGTTGCTTCATGATCATCCAGGGATTTTTTTTTTTTTTTTAAATTAATTATATTTCTTCTAATATGATTATCTCAACTACCACACTGAGAAAAATAAAAGGGAGGTGGTCAAGGCTTACCTCAATTATTGACTAAATTGCATGATGATATAAACAAGAAAAGAAATCACAAGTCAGCTAACACAAGAGAACAAATAATACTTTTTAGAGGTGGATATGCATAATCTCTTAGAGAATCAAGGAAGATATATGCAAGCTGTGAGCATAGAAAGCCAAAGAGGAGATAAGGCAAGGCAAAGGATTGGAATATTGCAATTAATTATTAGTATATAGTTCCAATACTTTGTCACATGGAGAGAGAGAGGAGGACTGTTTGGTATAAGAGAAAGGGGGAACATACTCAAAGTTTGCTGTATAGACAAAGTGGTACTCAAAAGGTTTGGAAATGACAAACACCCATTTTCCGTCATGTTCTGTTAGAAATTTCTATCTGCTAAAAAATAAAAATGGTGAAAAGACTGGAATATCCATCGATCTCCATTCCCAATGCTTGCCAGCAAGGGCCAGTGCCACTGTTTATCATCGAACTTTGCAGAAAAATGCTAAATTCGGTCGATGACGCAAGAGGGCTGGCAAACGAGCTTGGGGTGAGAATAGATACGAAGAAAAATATTAAAAATTTAAAAATTTTGTGACTGTAGATGAAATTACTATACTGTCTTTTAGCAGACAGAAATCGCTAACAAAATATAAAATAAAGTATTTGTTTATCATTTCCAAACCTTTTGGATATCAATCTGTTGTTATGCCAAACTTTGGGTAGGTGAAAGTCATTCGGCCTAAAAGAAAATGTTATGGGGACTTACCAATAAGTGCTTAAGAACCCATCTGGAAGCACTTTCCAAACAAAACTGTTCTTTCAAGTTTCAAAACTTAGTTGGTGAGGAAAAGCATGGAACACCCATGTGTTAAAAAGCACGTTTTTGGACTTAAGCAAAGCTAGGTGTGAAAGGAAGCCATCTATGGCTGGCTAGTAGCAAGAGAAGGGTTAAGAAAGTCTCCCTCAAGAAATCAATGACAAGTTGTTTATAAATCGATTACATTAGACGGTCATAGTATGTTTATTCAGATCGTCGGAGAGACTCAATTATTTAAAACTTTTTATGCATCGAAAGATTATTAAGAGGCAGGTATCATTACTATCGAAAAACTTATTATTAGTTCCCTAAATAATGGCATAGAGGATATCTATTACTATTTAAAATTACTATATGAAATAACTTCAAAGGATTGGCCTGACGGTCAAAGGGGTTTGCTTCATTTTTTGAGTTACTGGGCTTAAACCTTAAGGCTACCTACCATAATAATATTGTGGCTTACCTGATTCTTTGGGCTTATAAAGTGTTCAATGGACTCCGGAGATTAGTTAAGGTACACGTAAATTGGTCTGAATACGCTGGTTACCCTAAAAAAAGTTACTATCTGAAACAAGGAGTTGAAGCCTGGAAGTTGCAGGTGGTGGTGATTTGAGTCATAAATTTTGGCAAAAGGATTAGGTGGTAGATTGCAGTCTCCATCAGCCATGAAGGCAGAGCATATTACTACTCAACTTGTTTCAACATTTTGTTCTTTGATTTGGGTGACATATGCCCCCACTGGCCCATTTGGTCTATTCACGTGGGCTTTTGTACCCAATTGACCACTTCAATATGGGTGCTTTGTATGTTTCATATGTCTATTCACTTGACTCACACTTATACTACACTTTTTGAGTCATTTCATAAAGTCGGGTTAGAGTTAGGCTCCAATAGAATCAAGAAAGACCTTTCGGTCTATCAATCTTTATTATGTTTGGACCTGATAAGTTTTCTTGTCTCGACTTATATTGATATGATATCTTGTGAATAGTTTAGTGAAAAAGAGTTCGGATTTTAATATATAAGGTCTTAGATTTTATAATTAAATAGACACGTTTTGTGTGAATTTGAGAAACGATCATGACCCGATGGTGTCGATGTGACAATCTTACGAGAATGTGAGGTCCATAATTAATTAAAAAAAAGGTCCATACACTTCTTCGGACCGGAGCTACAATGTGAAATGAGGGGCACATGGCCCGTAGTCGTTTATATCCATCAAGGCAGAACGACTAGTCATTTGAGCATTTGTAGCCCAAAAGCAGTTGCACCAACTGTGGGCCAAAAATCTTGAGAAGCCCCCAAAAAGCCCAACCAAAATCTTCCATTTCTGTTATTAATACAGTTGCTGGCTATTTAGCTTCAAGCTTTTTGGATATCAAAATTGAACGGTCATTACCGGCCTCTCTCCCGCCATTGTCCGTACACGTCAATCACAACAATGACCACACTCTTCTCTGCCATGCCGTCCATTACTATGCCTCTTAAACATCAGGTATTGTTCTCTACAAACCCCAATTTTCACAATTCGTCATTTTTTTTTATCTTTTTTGTTTGCTGGTTTGGTTGTTTGCTTAGTGTTTGATTGATGAATCTGCGTTTTGTCATACAGAGTTCAATGCTTCAACAGAGATGGAGTATTAGGATTTTTCGAATGACGAGGATCAACCTGCTTTCTTCAACTGCTTTAATCAAGTGGAAGAGGAGGTAATTGTGTAAATTAAAATTTTCGTTATTATATTTTTCGTTGGTTCATTTTTATTTTTTTTGTGATGGATGGAGCAATTGATGGTGAAATGGCGTGTTTGAATCTAATAAAACAGGAGAACTTTGATATGTGCAGTCAGTAAAGATGCTGAAGAAGCATTCAAAAAGACTGTAGAGTTGGATAAACTGATTGATATGCTCAGAGATGCAAATCCTAAAGAAGTAAGCTCATACTTCCTAGCAAGTTTATCCCTAGTTCTTTCAGATAATCAGCCCCTAATACTTTTCTCTATTAGTAATATTTTAAATTGTGCTTTCATTATTTGATGTTCTCCAATATGGCAGGAATATTTATTATATTTAATAGTGGCATCCTAGTAGCACTATTGTTTGACTGATGCTTAGTTTGGGGGGCACTGAAGCCGGACTACACACAGTTTAGAATTTACATTGAATTTATTGCAAAGGTTGTAATATTCCCTGATGCAGATGCCACAAGTCAACTTATCTTGGTGTTTATACAAGAGGATGCGATTTATAATATTGGGAAACCTACTCTCAAAGTTTATTGTGGATATATATGGAGTTTTCTGACAAAATGTGGATAGTGGATCATATCACTTGAAACAAAATCTTGACTAGAACTGAGTTCTGCTATAAATTTGTATACATAAACTGGTTTTTCCTGTTTTTGGCATACAGCTTCAACAACTCGTTGTTGAAAATGTCCTTGCTTTCAATGAGAGTTTTTGGATACGGCTGGCAGCAAGAACTGACACCTGCAGATCAGAGGATGATAAAGCATGGTTTTTGACTTGGTTAATTCTAATTTTTGGATGTTATTCTTGAAATTGATCTCGTTTCAGTCCCTGCTTTTTGTAATAATACCTTTGACATAAATTTTTGTACTCCTGCAGAAAGATTATGAGGAATTGGCAGCATCTGTAATGAGCATAGTGGATCTCCTTGTCCATAAGACTCATGTACCCCTCTCTCTTTCTTTGGCAAAACCAACGCCTTTATAGTTTAATCTTCTAGATGTTCATCCACGACAAACAACTCCTCTCTCTCTAGTAAAAAAATAGTTTTGACAGTAATTTTTGCTCTCACAGGAAAAGATAGAATCAGCTACTGATGTTCTCAAGGAGATTTTAACACCTGTAGTCGGTGAAAAAGAAGAGATTACCTGGCCTCCAAGAGATCCTGAAGCTCTCAAACTAATGGAGAAAGTAAGTACCTGTTCCATTTTGGTTTAATTAATTTGCTTCCCTCTGTTAAATTTTTTTAATGGGGTTCATAGATAATACTCCCAACATCCATGTCCCTTTCCATGTGATCCCATACATGATTTTTCTATCCAGGAAAGACTAATAACTGCTGGATTTCCTCTACCTTTCGCTTTTAGATGATTTACCTACTTTGTTATGCTACTTCAATTATAAAAGCTTATTTTGATCTTGTTTCCTAATTTAAACACTAAATCGTACCATCTAGTCATGCCTAGAAAGAAAAATATAAACAAATGTATAGAGATGGTAGTTTTTTCCTATACAACTTTATCACAATTGGCTTGTTCTCCTTCAATCTTTGCTAAAAATAATTCAGGAATGGTTTTTTAGATATTCTTTTATAGAATTAGGTGGAGTCTAATATTAGCAGGCGCACACTGTTTCTATCTATCTGCTCCTGGAATGAAATTATTAAGATCATTATGTTTTTCATTGATTTGTATAAGAACTATGTAACTCCTTTTGCCTTCTGATAATTAGGAAATAATCCAAAGAGAGCAAGAAGGGCAACTAGATGAAGGATTTCTTGCAGAAGTAAATGCTCAACTACGACAAGTGAGTTTGTTTATGCTTTCTTATTGCTCCTGGATTAGAACCACATTTTTTTGGTTTTATCTACTAGTAGCAGAGGTTATCATCCTCAAATTGCCTTTGAATGGGATTTTATTCTATACTAAAAGATGTTTGCTGGAAAATAAGTCATGGTGTTTCTTGTTTCATGTGTTTTGAATGTTGAACTTGGTATCATAGTTTACTCAAATCTATAATGCAAAAGTGAATAGTAGTTAGATGCTGCTTCTGTTGAGTCTTCATGATACTTTTGCGAAGTTAGTGACGGATTAATCTATTGATCTTTTACAGTCAAAAGAAGATAGGGATAAGCCAGGACTAGAGGCTATGTTGCAAAAAGTTTTGCAACTCTATGCTGCAACAGTTCTCTCCAAACGTAGTTACGCCAAGAAAGGTAATATATTACCCTTTTTGGTTTACATATGTTACTTTTAACAGACTCTGTTGTTTAAACAAAAAATGGTTTATAACATAAAAAATTTTCAGTTAGTTAATTCATCCATGTATTTAAAAGGTGTTGATTGAGGTGAAGTAATCGCTGCTCGAATCTTCATCAAATTGTATTCATAATGCTTGTATTTTTTTAGTGGAATTTGTGTTTGTGTGTGCATGGTAGTGTTCATATCAGGGTGTAATAGATGAAGTTTGTGCATTGACTTCAATAGATAAGTAGAAAGATTAAAATAAAGAAAGTTCTGGTGGTGCTCTAAAGTAGGTAACAATAAGCAATAAAGTTGTTCTCAATGGTAGAGATAGTATACTGCTGTGAATTTTAAATGAAGTTCATCATTTGTTTGAGTTACTCTAATATGTTGAAGTTCAACTCCCCAGTTTGATCATATGTATGTGACATCACCTTTTAAAGTTCTTTGCCATAAATCATTAACACTTATATGCCTCATTTTTTTTATTTTCAATAATTTCCATCCCATATGCTTCGTAATCTCTACCTGTGTTGGTGCAGGGAACGAGGTATTGAAGGCTGAACTGTTTCTTGAGACTGTAATCAAAGGTGTCTACCATCTCCAGAATTAATTAGGTTTCAGGGCAGAAAGTCATATCTATCATTTTAACGAATGAACTACATTAGTAGATCTTGTAGAAAGTGAATAAGTTTCACTTGATGGAACCATCATCAATGTTCTTAGATATGTCGACTTTATTTTTTCATTTTGATCAAGTGTCTAGATTATTCAAAAGGAGTTGAAGATGGTTATAATAATTGAATCATTTCTTATGTCTTTGCATTTTACTGACAAGTCCTCTGGTATATTTTTTGGTGCTTCAGCTCCTGAGGAAGAATGGAACAAGCTTTTGATTGATGGGTTGACAGTTGGTAAAGGGGAAGTTTCACCGGAGGAATTTTATGCTGTCATTAAGAAACGAATTGAGCGAACTCTTATCCGAACGGTGAGACACACCTTACCCTTGGATATCTCATGACTGAAGCTTCAAATTTTACTAACCACTGCTGACACTCCTTTTCTATAATTTTTTCTTTCTTTCTCGTAGGAGGGAGGTTCATACCAGCAGCGCATTCTTACCGAATATCTGAAAGGCATTCAATCAAGAGCCGAGGAGCTCGTACAATTACTTCAGGGAAAGCCACAATAATCTATAGATTATCGCAGACGGGTTCCATGCAGTGACATTTTATTGCATATGCAAATGCAGATACATTTTACTGGATATGCAAATGCAGATTGAAGTTTCTCCTTCAAACGAAAAATCAAAGGAAAGAACAACATCGCGAACATCAGAGTCCGGAAATTTTTGATAAAACAGCCTGTGAAATGTGTTCTACAGAACCTAGTATAGTAATCTTTTCGTCGAAAATGTTGCAAATGTTGTGTGATAAATTATATATAGGCTCCCATGACAGCAGCTAAGCATGCTGAAACCTTCTCATAATGTGAAACAACTGAGGGTTTCTTTGCAGAGGCTTTGGCTGGACTGCTTGTACATTTCTTCTGTCAATAATTTGTATGCACTCTTCAGCTATAAATCTTATTTTCTGCTTCAGAAATAGTGTTTCTAACACCAAACAAGCTAGTGGTGCTAAAAAAAATGTAGAAACCGAACCGAACCGAACCGGTTTTTCTGTTATCCAGAAAACCAGTTCGGTTTTGGTTCAGAAAAATACAAAAACTTATTTTCTGGTTCGGTTACTGGTTTATGAGAATATGAGAACTAATTAACCAAAACCGGTTTATTAGAACAATATTAAATTAAAATATAAAATTAAGAAACCTGGTTTATTATAAATATATTAAATATTAATTAAAATCGGTTTTTCTCTTAATCAGTTTGATTTCGATTCAAAAAAATTCCGAAACAGAAAAACCGATTTGATTCACGAAATCGCTTAATTGGTTTTGAATAATATACCTACACACAATTTGATTCCCCAAAAAGCCCCCAGCAAACCTTTTAATGATGGAACAAATCGTCCATGAAAACGGGCCCCTCATGGTCATGTTGATATGACTGACAACACCTAATAACAGATCTTGACCGTTGATTGACTCTCAACAGTACTTGCTTAACATCCAAGTCTATACCACCTATGCAGCACCTAAAACATCACAACCGTCAAAATTTCCAATCTAACGGTCATCATTATCGTTAATATATAGCATTCACGTCATCGCAAATAATATTCAATTACTTTCTGTTTAGCTAACACATTCCAAATAAATTAATAATTTTTTGAGCCATCAAAAATATTATACAATTACACATGGACCCTTGGAAGAGGAACACTCAGATCCACTACGTTTAAAAAACAAACATTGACGTCCCTTGAGGTTTCCAAAAATTATCAAAGACCCCTCTCCAGCAAGTTTAATTAACGAAATTAGTTAAACGAGAGGGGGCAAAATGTTAGATAAATAACTAATATTTTGAAAATAAAAATTAAATTTTAAGATAAAAATTGTTAAACGATAAATGCTCATCATCTATGCCATGAACTTGTTGCCAACAAATTTCTACGTTGTCTTTCCTCGCTAGAAAGATGCATACCGATGTATTATGCGTATTAAAAATACTCAAAATTAAGGTAACGCAAATGCACGTTAACGAATTAAAGTGTGCGATCGTCACAGTTTAACTTATTATTAAGACACACGATGTGTATTGCAAGTCTTCAAGACTAAGTTAAACGCAAATATATAATTACAATTCAAAGTGTATTGTTTTTAGATCTATCCATCTATATAAATCTCATAGGAGTACTGCTACAGTTACCGAAAGAAGTGCACCGAATTCATGCACCAAATTACGTGACATAATCCTGACCATCGATTAATATTAATTCATAATTAATCGACGGTCAGGATTGTGACACGTCATTCGATGCATGAATTCGATGTGCTCTTTTCGATAACTGTATTATTTTCCATCTCACAGTTAACCAACTTTCCTACCATGTTTGTCTCTTTTGAAACTTAACACCAAAATAGGATACTTTTGACAAATTTTCAAACCTTTGGGGGGAATTAGAATTTTTACACACATAAGGGTGCTCAAGGTTATTTCTCAAACCTGAGAGGGGTTCATAATTCCCCCTAATTAATAGGCAATAGAGAAATATTTCAGATCATTCACCCCACCGTACCCTCATAAATATCAAAAATACCTTCCCTGTCCCCGCCCTCTAAAATTAACACACATGCACAATACAGACATTACTCTCACACTCGACGCGACTCAGATCTAAAGAGCGAAAAACTGAAATTAAGAAAACCCTCGCTCTTTTCTCTCCATCGATCTCTTCATTTCTTATACTTATTCTATCACAAACCTTTCTCTTTCGTTGTTCGATTGATCATTTCGTGTTCATGTTCTGATCAGATCTGAGGTAATTTTTCTATTCCTTTTTTCAATTTTCGTTATTACTAGCTCTCGATCTCGCTAGATCTAACCATAATTCAATTCCTCTGTTTGTTCACTGATAATTCGCAATCTCTTCAGTATTGTTACGGTGTCAGTGTTCGGATTATGTTTTTTGAAGATCTGTTGTTGTTTGTTTACTATTTTTGTTGGAATTATTAATTTCGAGATGTATCAATTGGTGTGTAGGATACGTGATAAGTATGCGTTAGTGAGCATTCTTGTTGGGTGTTTTGATTGAATTTGTTTGTTTGTGTGTTTAGAATAGATTTGGGTGATTTGATTGGAGGAAAATGTTGACCAAGTTTGAGACAAAGAGTAATAGAGTGAAGGGACTGAGTTTCCACAGTAAGAGACCGTGGATCCTTGCGAGTCTTCACAGTGGTGTGATCCAGCTATGGGACTATCGTATGGGGACTCTGATTGATAGGTTTGACGAGCATGATGGCCCAGTTCGTGGTGTCCATTTCCACAAGTCTCAGCCTTTATTCGTGTCTGGAGGTATGGTTGATTTTATATTAACAATGTATTTGGCTTTTGGGTTATTCTTTGGTTGATCTATGCACTGTTTTTTGGGTAGCATTTTGGCTGGTGGATTGTTGTTGAATTTTGATAGATCTATGGTATTACATCTATTGGGATGATAATTGAACTGGGTGTGTCAAAGAAATTGGTCCTTGGAATGTCGTGTTCTCTTTTCTTTTTTCCTTGCTTTAGATGGTTGAATAATGCTAGCAGGGATCAGCTCAGCTGACTGAAGCTTTTACTTCAAGTTTTCTAAATCATGACAAAGTTGGGATTTGAAATCCGGTTTATCGCTGGATCCTATTTTGTAACTTAAGATATACTAAACTAGTATCTATATAGTTGGCTTGTGTTTTTAGATCCTCTGGATCTGATTCGAGTGCCTAATATGAAGTGAATAGAATGTGCTTTATTTCTATTTATTGTAGTTAAGAGAGATAGAGAGTGAAAATTATGGTCCATTTAGAATGCCAATTAGGTTCATTGATGTCAGAATAGGACTAATACTTCCTCATCCCTTAAATCTGCAGCCCGGTTGAAAGCATAATTAGAGTCTCATGTTTATGATCTTTTGATCCAATCTAAGTTAGCTGGCATCTTCAGTTTTAATTGATTTTCTAATATTAAATAAACTTTTAGATGAGAGTTTCTTGTAGGGTTGGAATTTTTTTGTTTGTCAAATTACTTAAAAGTGGCTACTCTGAATAGATTCATGGGTTTGTAAATCTTCTTGAGATGAGATGTGATTTTTGTGATCTTCTGTTTGTAATTTTTATTTGTGAAAGGTTTTAGTGTGCTGTACCTTTGTATTTAATTTGCTGACTTTTGCAGGGGATGATTACAAGATCAAAGTATGGAATTACAAGATGCATAGGTGTCTATTTACTCTTCTTGGACACCTTGATTACATTCGTACTGTGCAGTTTCATCATGAGTACCCATGGATAGTGAGTGCCAGTGATGATCAGACCATCCGCATATGGAATTGGCAGTCACGTACTTGTATTTCTGTGTTAACCGGCCACAATCATTATGTCATGTGTGCCTCATTCCACCCTAAAGAGGACCTTGTTGTGTCAGCCTCTCTGGATCAGACTGTTCGTGTTTGGGATATAGGCGCATTAAGAAAGAAGACAGTGTCTCCTGCAGATGACATTCTGCGGTTGAGTCAGATGAACACAGATCTTTTTGGTGGTGTTGATGCTGTTGTTAAATATGTCTTGGAAGGTCATGACAGAGGAGTCAACTGGGCTGCATTCCATCCCACCCTCCCTCTGATTGTTTCAGGAGCAGATGATCGCCAAGTGAAATTGTGGCGCATGAATGGTACATGTCAATTATTGTTGCTTGTTTAAACATTACTTATTGGAGTCACTTTGGCTTTTTATTCTGTTGGCCAATTACTATGTGGTTTTTAGTATGCAGGTTATATAGTGTTTTCAAAAATGTCTTTTGGTTAGCTTGAATTACATTATGTTATTTGTTCATGTTGAACAGTCGTACAACCTTTCTTTTTCTTTCTTAATATGACAAAAATCAGGAATTTTTAACAATTTTCTTAGCCTTTTACATTGACTTCTAATAAATTTGATTATTGAAGTGAATATTTTTTCTTTTTTACAGAAACTAAGGCTTGGGAAGTGGACACTTTGAGAGGGCACATGAATAACGTGTCTTGTGTAATGTTCCATGCCAAACAGGACATAATTGTTTCCAATTCTGAGGATAAAAGTATTCGTGTTTGGGATGTAACAAAGCGCACTGGAGTTCAAACTTTCCGCCGGGAGCATGATAGGTTCTGGATTCTAGCATCACACCCAGAAATGAATCTTTTAGCAGCAGGTCATGATAGTGGCATGATTGTCTTTAAGCTGGAGAGAGAACGGCCTGCTTTTGCAGTGAGTGGTGATTCTTTGTTTTATGCCAAAGACCGCTTTTTGCGGTATTATGAATTTTCATCTCAAAAAGATACACAAGTTATTCCAATTCGACGGCCTGGTTCTACAAGCCTTAATCAGAGTCCAAGGACCCTTTCTTACAGTCCTACAGAAAATGCTGTTCTTATTTGCTCAGATGTGGATGGGGGATCGTACGAGTTGTATGTTATACCTAAAGACAGCATTGGTAGAGGTGACAGCTTGCAAGAGGCAAAGAAAGGTCTAGGAGGTTCAGCCATTTTTATTGCTCGGAATAGGTTTGCTGTTCTTGACAAAAGTAGCAACCAAGTTTTAGTCAAGAACCTAAAAAATGAGGTGGTTAAGAAGAGTATTCTCCCAATTGCTGCAGATGCAATTTTCTATGCTGGAACTGGTAACTTGCTGTGTAGGGCAGAGGATAGAGTGGTAATATTTGATCTCCAGCAGAGGCTTGTTCTTGGTGATTTGCAAACCCCCTTTGTCAAGTATGTTGTTTGGTCAAACGATATGGAGAGTGTTGCTTTGCTCAGCAAACATGCCATTATCATTGCTAACAAGAAGCTGGTGCACCAGTGCACTCTTCATGAGACAATTCGTGTAAAGAGTGGAGCCTGGGATGACAATGGTGTTTTTATTTACACGACCTTAAATCATATTAAATATTGCCTCCCCAATGGAGATAGTGGTATTATTAGAACCCTTGATGTTCCGATCTACATAACGAAGGTTTCTGGAAACACCATTTTTTGCTTGGATCGGGATGGGAAGAACAGGGCTATAGTTATTGATGCAACAGAATATATTTTCAAGCTGTCTCTACTAAAGAAGAGATATGACCATGTCATGAGCATGATAAGGAACTCTCAGCTTTGTGGTCAGGCAATGATTGCTTATCTACAACAGAAGGGCTTCCCTGAAGTTGCTCTCCATTTTGTGAAAGACGAAAGGACTCGTTTTAACTTGGCTCTGGAGAGTGGGAACATTCAAATTGCAGTTGCATCAGCGAAGGAAATAGATGAGAAAGATCACTGGTACAGATTGGGTGTGGAGGCTCTTCGCCAGGGTAATGCAGGGATTGTGGAATATGCTTACCAGAGGACCAAAAATTTTGAGAGGTTATCTTTTCTGTATCTCGTAACTGGAAACATGGAAAAGCTGTCCAAGATGCTTAAAATAGCTGAAGTTAAGAATGATGTCATGGGTCAATTCCATAATGCTCTTTATCTGGGTGATGTTCAAGAACGCATTAAGATTCTGGAGAATGCTGGCCATTTGCCTCTTGCTTATATTACTGCTTCTGTCCATGGGCTACAGGATGTGGCTGAGCGACTAGCAGCTGAGTTGGGAGATAATGTTCCATCTTTGCCAGAGGGAAAAGTACCCTCTCTTTTGATGCCCCCATCTCCTGTTATGTGTAGTGGTGATTGGCCTCTTCTGAGAGTCATGAAGGGCATTTTTGAAGGTGGGCTGGATAATGTTGGAAGGGGGGCTGTAGAAGAAGATGAAGAGGCTGCTGATGCTGATTGGGGTGAGGAACTGGATATGGTAGATGTTGATGGATTACAGAATGGGGATGTTGCAGCAATTTTGGAGGATGGGGAAGTGGTTGAAGAAAATGATGAAGAGGGAGGATGGGATCTTGAAGATTTGGAGCTTCCACCCGAAGCAGACACACCTAAGGCTCCTGCCAATGCTCGGTCTTCAGTTTTTGTGGCACCAACTCCTGGTATGCCTGTGAACCAGATTTGGATTCAGAGGTCCTCCCTTGCTGCTGAGCATGCGGCAGCTGGCAATTTTGATACTGCTATGAGGTTGCTGAACAGGCAACTAGGAATTAGGAATTATGCCCCATTAAAGTCTATGTTTCTTGATCTTCACTCTGGGAGCCATAGCTATCTACGGGCATTCTCATCTGCTCCCATAATATCACTTGCAGTTGAAAGGGGTTGGAATGAGTCTGCCAGCCCAAATGTTAGGGGACCACCAGCACTTGTGTTTAATTTCTCTCAGTTGGAAGAGAAGCTTAAGGCTGGTTACAAGGCCACAACAACTGGGAAATTTACTGAGGCTCTTCGACTATTTCTTGGCATTCTGCACACAATTCCTTTGATTGTGGTTGAGTCAAGGAGGGAAGTTGACGAAGTCAAGGAGTTAATTATCATAGTGAAAGAGTATGTCCTTGGTCTGCAAATGGAGCTTAAGAGGAGGGAATTGAAAGATAATCCAGTGCGCCAGCAGGAGCTTGCTGCCTACTTCACCCACTGCAGCCTTCAAATGCCTCACTTACGGCTGGCCTTGTTAAACGCAATGACTGTCTGCTACAAGGCAAGGAACCTTGCCACAGCGGCTAACTTTGCAAGGCGTCTATTAGATACAAACCCCACAATTGAAACTCAAGCAAAGACAGCCAGACAAGTGCTACAGGCTGCAGAGAGGAATATGACAGATGCCAATGAGTTGAATTATGATTTCCGAAACCCATTTGTCACATGTGGAGCAACATACGTGCCAATTTACCGAGGGCAGAAGGATGTTTCCTGCCCATACTGTACCACCAGGTTTGTGCCTAGCCAGGAAGGACAGCTCTGCACGGTTTGTGATCTTGCAGTGGTTGGAGCAGATGCTTCAGGCTTGCTTTGTTCTCCCACCCAGATTCGATGATTCAGCTGTCGAAGCAGGAGATTTTCAACCATTTTTCAGCTTAATCCTTTTTGCAGCAGAGGGAGTCATGTGGTGATGGATTCATTATCTGCAGGTAAAAGGTAAGGTACAAAAGAAGAGTTAAGTTTCGAATTAATTGTTTGTGGTGGTTACTTTTCCTATCAATGGCTTTTCTGCCTTATTTTTTTCTTTTTATCTCTATTTAGTTGATTATGATTTTCAATGTAATAACAATTTGAGAATTTTGACTTGGGCTATTCTTGTTAGTTGTTTATAGACAAGAATAGTTGAAGGGCTTTTGTTACATTAGATGATGGTCATAGGCAGGAAAAGACTTTTATATGTCAATGTATGCCAGACGCCTTTGGCGAATTTGCTTATATTTCCTGTTATACTTTACTTGAGTGGTTGGCAGTGAAAAAGTAATTTGTTCCATTTAAATAATGCCCATTTTTGTACCAATCTGCTTCAAATTTTCTTGGGCCATTTTCTTTATTTTTATGCTAGAAATAATATCCAATATTTTTTATCTTATAAAACAACAGGATTCTGATAAAGATGCCAAATGGGAGCTTATCTTCCATCCCAAAGGCCGATGGAAACAGCTTTGTGTGCATGGAAGCACTCAAGATTCTATTCTTTCATCGATTCTCAAAAAGAAAAAGACACCAAATTAGGAGATACTTACATCTGTTACTTGCAATCCCAATTCCCAACTGCCTGCCGTCATGCTTTTTTTTTTTTTTTTAATCTCGGCATCTCTTCTGTTACTAAACAAAGTCTTTTTTCAATTCAAGTGATAAACACAACATTAATTACACCCATGGGGTTCATTACCCTCTTCAACATGATTACATCCTTCATAACCACTCACGGTTGGGTGGTTGAGTAGTTGAATAAGGACTCTTGGGATATTATTCAAGAGCTCTTAAGTTTGATTCACTTTGATTGTTACTAAGGGGTTATCACTGGAGGTTTATCCGGTTGTTAACGTCAAGTTAGTCTTGAGTTCGATTCACTTTGGTTATTAATAGGGGGTGGTCATTGGAGGTTTATCCGATCGTTAACTTCACATTGGTTTTGAGTTCGATTCACCTTAGTTTTTAATAGGGTGTGGCCACAGGAGATTTATTCGATCGTTAACTTCAGGGTTCTAAGGTTTAGCTAAGATACTCGTAAACTGGTCCATACACCTTAATCACCAAAAAAAAAAAAAAAAAAAAAAATTTACATCCTTTGTACACATGGTTATCTTCGGTATTGAAATAAGGTCGAACGATTTGTGCATACTTAAGGTTTGTCGTAACAATAAATTGGTACTTAAAAGGTTTGGAAATGATAAACATGTACCTTTCGTCATATGCTGTTAGTGATTTCTGTTTGTTAATAGTGAATAGACTAAAATGCCCTTGAAAGTTTGATATTTTAGTTTTTTTATAAATTTAAAATTTTTTAAAAAACCCCCTAGGTTTGCTAATTTAATTAAACACCCCCATATATAAAAGTTTGTTAAATGACAAAAACACTCCACCACCCGCAGTGTCAGATTTCGGCCATCACCGTCGGAATCTGGCTGAAAAATTGCGTTACGACACAGACTCGTCGGATCTATGTCGTAACGTGTCGATCTGGCCTTTTCCGGCTAGATCTGGCCGTTGACGTCGCAGATGGAGTTTTGTGGCCTCGACGGCCAGATCAACCACGGATCTGACCGGAAAAGGCCAGATCGACGCGTTATGACATAGATCTGACGGGTCTGTGTCATAATGTAATTTTCGACCAGATTCCGGCGGTGGTGGCTGGAATCTGGCACTGCAGGTGATGGGGGTGTTTTTGTTATTTAACAAATTTTTTATATATGGGGGTGTTTAGTTAAATTAGCAAATCTAGGGGGTTTTTTAGAAATTTTTAAATTTATAAAAAACTAAAATATAAACTTTTAAGGGCATTTTAGTCTTTTCACTATTAACGAATAGAAAACACTAACAGCACATGATGGAAGGTACCTGTTTGTCTTTTTTAAACCTTTTAGGTATCAATTTGTCACTACGGCCAACCTTGGGTGTGCGCAGGTCATTTGGCCTTGAAATAATGGAGTAAATGGGACGGAGTAATTTAGGTGTTAATTCCACCCAAAAAGGTATATGTAAAGTCAATATAACATCCCTAATTAATACAGCTTATACATGTTAGATCTTGGTGTAATATCCACCATCCAAAGATTTTTAAATCTAACGGTGTATAATAGTAATACATTTAGTTTGAAATTGTATTTTACATAATTCCAAAGCAAAAAAGAAAAAACAACTCACCTACTGTATCTTTACACGTGTCTGAAAACGAGTGGTGGTTTGACGTGGACGAGAAACTATTCTTTCGCACGTCACGTAGACAAAAACGATCATCCACAACGTCTGCTCGTATATAAACAGCTCTCCAAACGCCATTGAATCACTAATTTTAGTTTACAATTTATCTCGTTTTGATAAAAAGAAAAGAAAAAAAAACTAAACCAGAGAGCAATGGCAATGGAAATGGCCAAGAAATCTCAGAAAGATGAGAGCTTGCAGCATGAAATTGATGGTTTTTTCTGTTTGTCATCTGAAGATTCCTTGGAAGAGAGTAATGATCTCTCTTATTGGGAATTTGTTAACCCATCTGATGCTGATTCGGATGATACTGAAATTGATAATCTGTCTTTAGATAGTTTTCAAAATGGGTTGTTTGTTTCCTGGCATTCTTTACTCTCTTCATCAAGATCAACCCCAGAAGAGAATCAAACGGAAAAATCCCACCTTGATGTGATTGATCGAGATCAGCTTGTTGGGTATCTTGGAAAACAAGTATCATATCAAGAGGAGGATGGTGAAGAAGAAGAGTATAAGTATGGTAATGATTTGGATGATAGTGCTGATGATGATGGCGGCGATGATGTGGATGATGAGCTTGTGCCGTGGTCTGTGAGTGGGAAGCTTGGAAGGCAGAGGATGAGGAAATTGGGGAAGAGGGCTTTTGCAAAGATGCACCATTCAAAGAAGACACCTTTCTTGTATATGAAGCCTGGTTGTGTTCATGGAAAGCATGGACTCGGAATGAAGCACAGTTTTTAAGGTAAAGTTGGGGGACTTTATGAAGAAGTTTGTCATAAAGGTCTCAACTTTGATTTGGGCATATTTCATTTCTTAGGAATTCCATATGGGAAGTTGTAAGTAATTACTGTAGTTTGTTTAGAATTTCTTAGATGATGTGTTAGGTTATGTTAATTAAACTTATTGTTCTCTCAAATCTTAAAGTTTATAAATATTTAGTTATTTAATCTCTTATGGTTTATTTCTTGCTCATTCTTGGTTGAATTGGTTTGGCTTTATCATATTTTGGAATCAATATATGTTTCCGCCTAATTTCATTCTCCAGACCAAGAAGACTAAAATGATACTATTTTTCTCGTAATGGATTTAATTGTTGGTACTGGGTGAACTTTCATTTCAGTTTCTAGAGATGAACTTAACTTCAGGAGATGGTTGGTTGGGTTAAATTATATGGAAAGATCTGATCTTGGAGTCTGAGATTTGTTTGAGCATAAATAATACTTTGAAAGTGGAGAGATCTGAACTTGGAGATTGAGATTTTTTTGAGCATAACTCATTGTTACTTGAAAGTTAATGAAGAACAGTATTGATTGAGGGAGATTAATTGTTTTAGCTATTTATTTTTTTATTAAAGTTTGGTTGAGTGAGTGAAAGTTGAAGGAATGAAGTTCATTTTACTTATGGACTTCTGCGGTAACATCTTCTTTTCCATGTAAGAGATGTACAAAAACTTGGAGGCAGAGTTTTCTGTGTGACAGAGTCAATCTAAACCAATATTTATATAAATATTTTTTTTCTATATTAGCAAGTTCTTTACATATAAAAGATGGTCGCTAGGCTCTCTCTTTATCTCTATAATGTGTTGCAGTCATTTCCATGGCCCTTCCACTGTCACTACCGCTTACATCTTCATTTCCTCTACATCCATCTGCTTGCTGATCTGCATTATTTTGATCATAACTCGCCTTAGATCCAATTTATACTCTCTGTGTAACCTAGTGTAGACTTGAGTCTCTTGCCTATGAATTTGAATGATGATAGCCTGATTCTAATAATCAGACATAACCATGGCCATCTGCTATATGACCATGGAAAACCTACATTTCTGTGCATTCCTTCCCAGGTTTTCTTTTGAGAAACTAGTAATGCCAGTTTGAATTGGAATGCTTCATGAAGAAGGAATGCTTTTTGCCCACTTCAATGAAAAAGTTTACCTATTTCAATTAGGATGTTAAGACAGTAAATTATCTCAATGGCGCAGAATATTTACTTTGTAAGTATAGCATTATTCATGGCGGGGAATATTTACTTTGTAAGTGTAATATTATATCTGGTATCTTTGAACGCGGCTTTCATGTCGGCATAATAAGAGAGTCATGGTCAAAAGCTAGAGAGAAGCTAGAGAAGAAACAGAGTGAAATAGTTTGATTTGTCATCTCTTTATCTTATCACCTTCCAAGTGAAGTAAAGGGTGGGAGTAAAAGTAGGAGGAAAGCATATGCAAAACCCTTTTAGCAAAGCAAAGAAAGAAGAATTGTGCTTGTGGTGTGGGTGGAAACATTCTTCTTGGTGAAGAATGAGAAACAACAATAACAACACTATAACCACCACCGGGTGGTCCGGTTAATTATGACTCTTTGGTGTATTATTCTATAGGTCTTGAATTCGATCCACCTAAGTTGATAATAGGGGTGATCATTGAGGGGATTTACCCGACTGTTAACTGCAAGGCTCCGAGGGATTAGTTGAGGGTGCGTAAGCTGGCCTAGACACTCTCGGTCACCAAACACTATCAACAATTTAGCCCCACCAGTATTAATCAAAGTGATCATTGAGGGGATTTATCCGACTGTTAACTGCAAGGCTCCGAGGGATTAGTTGAGAGTGCGCAAGCTGACCTAGACACTCTCGTCACCAAACACTATCAACAATTTAGCCCCACCAGTATTAATCAATTTCTGTTTCTTTGTTGTGTTGTGACCCTCCATCCATTCCATTATAAGCAACAATTAAGAGCTTGAGTTGTGTTAACATCAATCTTGTTTTGCCTTTTTCACTCCAACCAACAAAACAAGATTGATAGATAATCTAAGAGTGAATTCAAAATGTTCTTGTAAAAAAGGGTTTTCCTATAAATACTTCGTGTTAGTAGCACACAAGAGTGTTTACATTGGATTAAAAATAAACACCTTTTGAGCTAAGAATACTTACCAAAAGCAAACCTAGTTTTACATATTATATGCTTAGTAATCAACCTTATTACTCATTTCCATGGCTTAGTTTAAATACTAATATTTTTTTAATTTTTTTTTTTTTCAGTTTTTATAATGGGGTCCTTGTTAATTTCAAATAAATATTCTTGATTATTGTGACATCCTAATGGGAAAGCATATAGGGCAGTAGATGATGTCTGTCGACAGAGAATCATATTAAATAAAACTATGCATAATTTAATTCATTACATCCATTTTGTCAATGTACAAATTAAACTATAAAAATCTTTATGAATAAATAAAATATAAAATCCTACAAACATTACCACTTATCAACCATTGGATTATAGTCTAAAAGTTTACTAATTATTAATCCAAAGGTGGAAAAAAGTTTTATTCAAATGCTAAATTTACAAGAATATTTTTTTATTTTAATTGATCAGAATGAGGAGAGAAGGTACAAGAGAGAGGAGAGGATCTAGCTAAAAACCCTAATAAGAAGGAAGGCCTGGGAAATTAAAAAATTTGAAAAAAGAAGAGAGATTAACCCGGTTCTTATGGGGTTCAAGGACTAATAACAGTAAAAGCTGTCTCTTTGACTCTCTTTGACTGACAGTGATTATGATATCTGAGATGAAATGAAATCCCAATAAGTGAACCCCAACCCTCTCTAAGTACAGTAAATTCCTTCATCATCTCACTGTTTAAATCCTATACATGCTATTGCTGTACCTAGCAAAGCTACCCCTTTAGTACTCTGATGGCGGTTTCTGGTTAATTTTCTTTTCCCTTTTTTATTACACTTCCCCCCACACTAACAAAAACATCTCACTGTTTAAATCCTATACATGCTATTGCTATACCTAGCAAAGCTACCCCTTTAGTTCTCTCATGGCGGTTTCTGGTTAATTTTCTTTTCCCTTTTTATTACACTTCCCCCCACACTAACAAAAACATACCACCAAAATAGTATTCAAATCTTTGCCTCCTTGCCCATGTGATCAGTTAAACATTATTATTATTATTATTGATAAAAGGAAGTTAGAAAGAAAGAAAGAGAGAATTCATTTTGCTTTCTGTGTGTGTGTGTGTTTTTGCTTCGGTTAATTTATTTGTTTATGTTTTGTGTGGAAACTGGGTAAATTATTGTAGGTTGATGCTGGTTTGGCGGCGTTGTGCTGTTTTTATTCTATTATTTCATACTCTTTTAAGTGCTTTAATTCGTGCATAATACCAAAAAAATTCCTTCCAGTATTAGGTTATATATAAATTATCATCAGTTTTCGTCTGTAAAAGTCACATGAACCATGATGATAAACTGATCAGAATGAAATAAAACAATATTTATATATATATATATACACGAAAATACCCACCACCATATATACAAGCTGCAGCACCAGAAAAAATCTCTTGCTAGCAAAGTGGAAGAAAATGAGTGGTGAAGGGTGGTGAATGTAATGAATATTGGTGGTGGTGGTGGTGGTGGTGATGATGATGAGACAAGGTGAAGAATCAGGAGGGACTACAAGATGTCAAGACTGTGGAAACCAAGCGAAGAAGAACTGTGTGTACATGAGGTGCAGGACTTGCTGCAAGAAGAGAGGTTTTCATTGCCAAACTCACATCAAGAGTACTTGGATTCCTGCTTATAGAAGGCGCCAGAGGAATCATCAACAGCTTCTTACTATTCAAGAACAGCACCAGCACCAGCACCTACATCTTCAAGAACATAACCCTAAAAGGCTTAGAGAAAATCTCTCTTCATCAATATCAGGTATACAGTCACTTAGATCTATGCATATCATTTGCGTGTCTTCAATATGCGCCATCAATAGTGACTTAAATCAATAGCCCTAGCTGCAACTGTTTCTTCTGTTCTACTGCTAACTGGAATGTGATGAGTCTTTAAATTGCTAATTTTCTGAGCTTTTCTGTGCAATTTAAATTGGTTTTACTTAGATTTAATGCTACGTTTGTGATGTGTTTTTGTTAATTATAGGGTTACAAGTAGGGAATTTTCCAGCAGAAATTAGCTCAAATGCTACATTTCATTGTGTTAGAGTGAGCTCCATTGATGATGCAATTGATCAGTATGCATATCAGACAACTGTGAGTATTGGAGGTCATATTTTCAAGGGTATTCTGTATGATCAAGGTCCTGATGATCATCATCAAAGCTACAATTACACTGTGGGTGACAGCTCTTCCAGTGAGCCCCATCATCATGATCATGAACAATCTAATCCATTCAATGTTGTTGCTACTGATCTAAACACCACCACTCCAGCTCCTACAGCAACTGTTTATCCTCCTCCATATACATTCCCATTCAGTCCTTTCATGCCCGGTACGCAATTATTCCCACACCCAAAATCATAATTAAGCTTTCCTTGTATCTTTGATTAATGAAAACGCAATAAATAATGCTTTATTTATATTAAGAACATCATCATCATGATATTTAATTTCTTATTATCATTATTGCTGTTGTTCTACCAAGTATGATATATATAATTGGTCTTCACTATTAAACTAGAAAGTATATTACAAGGATGGAGAGAACAAGAGTACTAGCTTAATTAATTGATTATTTTTGTAACTTCAAGGCTTCAATTATATGATCTTCTTTGTTATATATATATATATATATTTCAAGGCTTCAATTATATGATCTTCTTTGTGATATATATATATATATATAGTGTTGATAGGTTTTGCAGTTTGTCTTCTTGTTGAATTTTTTTTATTTTTATTCTCTTTTAAGTATAGGATTATATCAGTTAATTGTTGTTTATCAACTTCAAAGCAACTTTTCCCCCGAATTCCCGTTCCTTTGCTGGGTTGAACCCTGACTATATATATATCTATATATCTATATATCATCTTCTTATATATTTTGGAGAGACAAAACTATAAAGAATTTTCAGAGAATTTTTATTCTATTTATATTTTGAGGGTTATTTCACCAATGCACATGGACATCAAACCCAAAATATTCATATATCAGCAATACACACAACACACAATCATGCATACAGCCCAATATTAATTGAACTCTTCAGTATATATTATTAATGTAAGTGTGTAGATATATATACAAAGATATATCTACTTCGGAGGAGGGAACTAGCTACTAAACAGTTCGATTAGTTATTTGTTCTTATACCCAAGTCAAATGAATAATTTGCCCGTCAATATCGTTGCGGGCGTAGTTCACCATCTTTCTGATTCTAATAGGCATGTTCACACTCGAACCCTTTTATCGGAGTTTTCTTTTGACTCTCTTTTCAAAATCCTTTTCACCTTTCTCTCATGATACTTGTTTGTTATCAGTCTCTCGCTCATATTTAGTCTTTGACGGAATTTAACTATCTCATTTAAGTTGCATTTCCAAACAATCTGACTCGTAGATAGTGCCTCATGGTGTGACAGGGTTTGAGCGCAACGGGGCTCTCACCCTCTTCGCGCCGCCCCTTTCCAATGGACTTGGGCCTTGTCCGCCATTGAGAACACTTCTCACTGTCGAGAGTCAAGGAGTACGCAAACAAGATGCCAGCTGCAATCTTGTTTACTAAACTTGCAAGGTATACATAATTAAACAGTTCTAAAATGAAGCATGTTATCAGTATTCTATGGATTTTTCAGGGCTTCAAACAGTTTAATCACCTGTTTGATCATAATTATCAGTAAGTATAGCCTACTATTTGGTAGCTTTATTAATTGGCTTTTTGTTTAGTGGCAGCTGCTGGTAGAGTGATTGGATTATTTTAAAGTTTATTCAATATGCATGCACATACATCTGAACAATTTAATTAGCTTTTCGCATGCAATAGGTTTATATATATATATATATAGTACAGCATTTATGTACATATAAAAACTCAAAAGTTGAGGAGAATCGGGCGTAGGGGCTATGACTTATGGGAGCTAAGCCTCTCAAGGTTGAATATTTTAAGGGTTTAGACAGAAAAAGAGTAGTTAGGCATCTTGTGAAATTTCAGATCATGATAATAACTTTAATTGGAAACCACTGCGTAAGCGCCATGCTTATTATTTTATAACAAAGTTGCGAGCATTCATAATCACACTAACCATGGCGAAAAGATAATTGATACCCACTGGGAATATGAATATATCCTCTTTCAGTACTTGAAAAAAAAGAAACCACTGCTGCTGCGGCTGGTTAAATTATATATACAGAGAAGGTCATTATTCTTCCAAGTTTTTAATACACTGTTGGATTCCTCTGACCTCCCAGATTGAGCTTCGAAAAATGGCTTTCCCTATTTGGTCATCAAAAAGAAACTCCTTAACTTGTGTAGGAAGAGATCCTGCAATTAGCATGCCAGGAACATTAATCATATAAAAAAAAAGTAGCCTAAAAGTAAACTTGTTAGTGATGTTTTTTCATATTAGAATATGATTTATAGATAGATTAAGAAAGGAGAATGTTGTTCTTTAACCCTTTTTGGTTTAGCTTTTAGTTAAGTGAAGGACCATGTTATAGATTCTTCATCTCAAAACAAAACCCTAAAACAGTCACTTAATTTAGTTTTAATTTGAGTTTTTGTTTATCTTGTTACAATATAATCGAGCTAACGATAAGATAAATGTCCTCTTCTCGTTATTAACCGATCAAAAACAAAACCCTAAACAGTCACTTAATTTAGTTTTAATTAGAGTTTTTGTTTATCTTGTTACAATACAGCCAAGCTAATGATACGACAGATATCTTCTACTCGTTATGAACGGATCGTATTATAACCAGATATATAAAAAAAACTTGAGGTGTTACAATATGATATATTAATAACTCTAATAATCAGCTGTCCCTGTACATATTGCATGGGAATAAATTAACATAAAAAGTTCTACTTTGTGTTCATGATGTAATTCTTCGTGTTGGCATAGTGAGAAAGTCATTGGAAAAAGTATGCTTTGATGCTTTGTTCTATAATTTAATCTTAATTTATAATCTTGATTATTAAAATTCAAAGTATGGTAATGAAAGTGGTTGATCAAAACTACTATAAATGTAAATAAGCTATTATAATTATATATACAGAATCTACAAGTGCAGGAAATTAAAATATATATCAGCATATAAACTTCGTCCTTGCCATTAAGTTTTATGCATACGAACAGCAACCATTTATGGCATAATATTATGTTATTAATATTTTACAAGAGAATCACATCCATCGTTTAAAAAAATTAATCTGGGAAATGAGTTGCTTACACAGTGAAAGTAAAGGATGCCATGATCAAACTTCCATCTGCAGAAAAATTCCAGTTTCTGGGAAATTAATGGTTACCTTGAAGTTAGGATAAACTCATACTGTGAGACTGTAAACTTTTTACACTATTTTAGACCTAACAGATTTGACATAAACCTAACTCAGCATTTTTAAATAATATACTGAACAGTTGATGATAGTTCAGTTTCTGTATTTCACAGTGATTGCCTGAACTTGGTGTATGAAATGTCTTAGCTTCTTGGTTTGCAGGATGATATAATAAATGTCAAAGATTTACTGATGAGTGGTTTCACTTTATGGCCATTATAGTTCTATATAAAGAAGCTTTTTACGACACTTGTCGATTATTCGGTCTGTGTCCCTCCTTTGCCTCACCATTTCCCTCTAATTTCGATGGTTCTCAGTAGTGCTTATCACCTTCGCCATTTTCATTCTCTCTCCCCTTCCCATCATAATCAATCCCACTTTACCATAAAAGCCTTTATAAGCTAGCTAGAAGACATACAAAGGAAACAAAATTAACTAGTTGATAAAAGAAAGAACAATGAATCTATTAGCTAGATTGCAATCTCAGATATCACTCAAATATTGGGTTGACTTACTTCCCCATATCATCAAATATTATTGATTGAGATTTAAAAAAAAAAAAAAAAAATACTCATTCGTGGGTAGTCCAGATGGTTAGGACGAATTTGAGATAGTATCGATAAGCGTACAAGTCCAGGTGCACGTAAACGAGCTTAAACACCTTGATTAGGGTTGTGCATTAGATGATTAGTCAAAGTGCGCTTAAACTGGTCTAAACACCTTGATTAGAGTTGTGCGTCGAGGTGCATTAAACTCACTCGTGTTAGAATTTGAGGTGGGCATGACTCCTTACCCAATAAGACATTGTTGAATGAGAGGATTATCCTCTCTTATAATCTAATAGGCTTGAGCGTGCCTAGTCGATGTTGGACTCCAACATTTCCCCTCACGGTCAAGCCTATATATTGGGTCATGCTTGTTATTGGAGGTAGTTGCTAGCTCTAACTTCTCACCCGCTGGTCAAGCGCTCAGCTCAACTGAACCTGGACTCTGATACCATGTTAGAATTTGAGGTGGGTCTGATTCTTCACCCAATAAGACCTTGTTGAATGGCAAAATTACTCCCTCTTATAACTCAATAGGCTTGAACATACCTAGTCGATGTGAGACTCTAACAATGTGAGACTCTAACAACTCGGGCACAAAAATTACTAAAGAAAACCTTACCGTTTCCCTAATTTCGATGGGTCTCAATAGTGCTTATCAATTATCACCTTCACCATTTTCATCTCCCCCATCATAACCATTCCCACTTTACCATAAAAGCCTTTATAAGCTAGCTATAAGACATACAAAGGGAACAAAATATGATTAGTTGAGAAAAGAAAGAACAATGGACCTGTAGCTAGATTTGCAATCTAAGATATTATTGATTGAGATATAAAAAAAAGAAAGTATACTCATTTGTGAGTAGTCCAGATAGTTAGAACTAATTGGGGATAATATCGATAAACATACGAATCGAGATACGCGTAAATTGACTCAAATACTTTAGTTATGATTATGCGCTAGATGATTAATTGAGATACGCGTAAACTGATTTGGACACCTTGGTTACTAAAAAAAAAGATAATAGGCCATGCATATTATATAATATTTTACAACAATCTATTTTATGCATATTATATAAAATTTTATTTTCTCTAGAACAATATTATTAAAAAGAAAAATCAAATAAATAAGAATAATTTATGATGGGCTGAGCTGGGCCATCCTCAAGACGGGCTGCCCGTTTCCTCTTTAGATTGTCCTAGGCTCATTTAAGATGGGCTCAGTTGACCCATTATACCATTCCGCCCGGCCCGTTCGGTTCCATGGTAACATGGCGCCAAACACAGAGCTATTTCCCGCCAAATCGTCTCAACAAACACTTTGTGCCCTCATCTCTGCTGTCCAACTCCCAATCCCTCTCTCTCCGGCTCGCTCTTTGTCCCCATGGCCTCCGATTCAGATCACGCCGACTTCAACAATGGCGGTAAACACTTCATCTTTACTTATCGCGTAACTCTTTATTCTTAACTTCTTTTTTTTTTTTTTTCTAATTTTTTTTTTTTTTTCAGGTCCGTCTTCCCCGGACGACTCGTTTTCGACTCCAATCGACAATACATTTTCATCACCAGCCAACAATTCACGCCC